TAGAAGGAGCGGGCCAATTCCGCCAACTTGGTGTGCCAGAAAATAAAACCGGTTTCTTACCTTGGTATCGACCGATAGAGTGGCTAGTGAGCGTAACGTTACGCTATCGCAGGTATTACAAGATATATACTGAATGGTCAGTTCACTTGCGCGGCGGAATATCTGATAGTTTTGTATCATTCGATTTCTGCCGTCGAATTTGACAGGGAGCAGAAACGAGCTGACTTAACTTCTTAGCTAGCGGGACGACTAGCCGAGATCGCTACAAGATACGTGTGATTGCGGACAAAGGCTAGGACTCTTTGCTTGGAAATCCGAAGACACAGTTGAACTCAAATTTTAAATGAACAGCGATGCTTACATAGCACGGCAGATGCAGGTTGGCAAGCAGCCGGAGGATTTCCTCCATTGAAATTTCTGATCAAATCAATTTCTAAAGCCATACTCGATTTCTGTACTACCTCGGTAGGTATCGGCACATCACATTTGGGAACACCATCACCAGATGATACAAACCAGATCTTCATAGAAACGAAGTCGAACTTACACGACCCAATGCTGTGATTTGGCATTCTTTGCGATTGTTGCGCTCATAGGAGTCTCATCACCAAAGCAAAGGTCGTTGTTACAGAAGATGGGGAGGAAAAACTATTGTGTCTCCGGAAGGATTCTAGAACCATGAGAGCCAGCGAAGATTTTGGTTCATGAGACGGCGCTGCATTAGTCTCCACTACCCCGCATCGCGCCGCATTCCAGAGCACATGCACCAACTTTATTGCCAACTGACCATGATTGGAACTCGCAAATGATTACAAACGCCAACGGAACAAACTGGTCAGCATCCTCACTTAGATTAGATCTGCACTAGGGATATTTCAACGTTTTTCTATCTTAGGACCAGTTATGCCCCACCATTAAATTCCAACGGTAAGATCCTTGAGTGCCTGGACCAGCGCAGAAAGCTCACATCATTATGATAAAGCTGATCGCAGCTCTTTCATCTGTCATGGGGGTCGTACGATGATTCGAAATTAACACGAAGATAATATTTTGCATAGAAAATACAAGGAGGCAATTGACGTATCGTATCTGAATCAGGCCTCTAGTGGTGAATTGAATGGTAATAATCCTTCAAGCACTTCGCAAAACAGCTAGGAAGCCATCTGCTTTGTCTCAGTGGATTAGAACTTCATGCATTCAATCACTCATCTTTCGTACAACCGCCATTCATGCAGCCAGCCAGCCAGCATAGATGTCGAACGCGCCCACCCTACCGTTATCTCTAATGCGCTATAAATTGAATTCTTAGCATGCCGAGAGAGATATGGGTTAAAGTAATATAAGGTTAAACAGTGGAGACTGGGGCAAATAAACATCCACCTGGCAGTCGAATCAACCGCATTAACCTAAGAGATGAGTTTTGATTGGTAGCTCCATCTTAACAATCATTACCTGTGTTTGGTTATGAGCGCCATGCTTTGCTACGCCATTGATTGAATCGAGAGGAAATGCAAAGGATCTCCATCCTCCGAGATTGGACTAATTCTTGTACGAGTACAGCTCTCACTTGCAAGATTTGCAGAGTCGATAGTGTGATGTGTCAGATCAAGAAAACTTCCCCCCAACTCCCAACTCCTCCATTCTCTCCAAAATACCATTATAGCATAGCTCCGAGGGTTCTGTCAAAGTGATGAAGATATTTTTAGTCTAGCCATGATAGCTAGATCTATTGATAACTATCAAACCTTCTTTCATACTATAGACTGGAGACCGAATCTCGTTCATCATCTGTTTATCCTTAAAGTTCTATTGGAATTGTTGATGCGGGGTCAGACAACCAAGACTACGCCGTCAACCCGTCAGCAAGGGTAGACTGAAGTTATTGATGAGCATGCATCCTTCCTAGGAGACCCAAAGCTCAGCACCGCATAGTGTGGTGTTGCCCCTCCCTATTAGCTATCACAAAAGCGTCTTTACATGTCGCTAGTATGTTCACGAACTTGCAATTGCTTGATTCTTCCCGAAGCAGGAATACTCCGATGCAACGAAGCTTCACAGCTTTTAGCAGTCTCTCGGATTACGCAACCTATCCAGTCATCCCATTCAAGATGCTTTCCGCACTTACAAGGAAGATAATTCCACAGCATACAGTGCTTTCGCGTCTTCATATCACTCGGTGTTTATGAGATCCAACTTTGGAATCTGATAAAGATTGCCAGATAGGGAGACTTAAATTTATGAAGTGGCTTGAAAGTGCCAGCCTAGGCTCTTCTCAAGGCCACTAGCTAGATTATTTCCTCGGTATGCTACTACATTACAGACAGTGCTATAATGGTCCAAACATCCCAATTTTGTTCACATGTTCATTTTGCTAGTATGACAACTTAAGGTACAAACTAGCTCTACTCCGCGCAGTCACATCATATATATAGCGGCATCGACCTGAATTCCATGCTACATGTTGATAGGTTAACGTCCAGAATCATATTATACATTGAAAATTGCATACAGAGAATAGTTTTCAAAAGTTGTACTTCTAATTTGTCACAATGAATCTTGAAAAGCAAGTCTCACCGATGCCTATCGTAAGCCATGAGGAGGATATTGAAGTCTCAGGCTCTAAACACTCTTCACCAAACCTCTCATTGCAAGAATCCACATTGAATGGACACAACATCCAGAGCATAGGTAGCGGTGGATATGCGGAACATGGACCTGGAATTGACCATAAGATCTCGCAAGTGCTTGAAAAACAAGCCAAGCCAGATCTTATGTGGAGTCGAATTCGACATGCTATGCGAGAACCGTTTTCGGAATTCTTCGGCGTATTCATTTTGTCAGTATTGGCACAAGCTTTTAGCCTTCGCAGCATGGCAATCACTCTCTTATTTATTCCATGATCATTAACGTTTGAGTAGGATCTTGTTCGGAGATGGAGTTGTTGCGCAAGTAGTCCTTAGCTCAGGCGAGAAGGGCTCTTATCAATCAATATCTTGGGGATGGGGGTACGTTTTCGTTTGGATCTAATAAACGGCACATTGGCTCACGACCTTGCAGTATTGGAGTTATGCTTGGAGTCTATGCATCAGGCGTCAGTGGTGCTCATATCAACCCTGCGGTAACTTTCGCGAATTGTGTCTTTCGCAAATTTCCCTGGCGCAAATTCCCCATTTACATGCTGGCGCAAGTACTAGGTGCAATGTGTGGCGCCGGTGTAGTCTACGGTCTGTCTGTTCCCAGTTGATATGAAAATGGCGATCTAACATTTCAATCCTGATAGCCAATTATAAATCCGCCATCGACGTGTTTGAAGGTGGCCATAACATTCGAACTGTGGGCCTAAATACGTCATCTGCAGGCATATTCTGTACTTATCCCGCCCCATTCATGACAAAGACTGGACAGTTCTTTTCCGAGCTTATTGCAAGTACCATCCTTATGTTTTGCATTTATTCTTTGCAAGATAATGGCAATTTGGGAGCTGGAAATCTTACTCCACTCGGACTTTTCTTCGTGATCTTTGGTATTGGAGCTTGCTTTGGGTGTAAGTGAAGTTTCTGAACACTTTAAATAATAGCCGAACCATTAATCTGAATTCCTTAATAGGGGAGACCGGATATGCCATTAATTTGGCCAGAGACTTTGGTCCAAGATTGATGACCTATTTCCTGGGCTATGGCCATGAGGTTTGGAGTGCTGGGAATTATTATTTTTGGGTGCCCATGATAGCGCCATTTTTCGGATGTTTATTCGGTGGTTGGTTATATGGTATGTGCTCATCACTTTTCCATACCCGATGTGGTGTTCGAGAGAGAAGATCTAATAAACCAAACAGATGTCTTCCTTTTCACTGGTGAGAGCCCCATCAATACTCCTTGGATGGGGCTAAAGCGTCTTATGCCTGGACTTAAGAGTAAGCAAATAGACTCAGTGGCATAAAACAAAATGGGGAAAAGCGGGCGTAGGTAGGAATGTCAGTCTCTTTCCTGCAGCAAAGAGGAAGGAGTCACGCCAGCTTGACGAATCCCGGACTGTTGACTATATTCCAATCACAAGATTCTGTACTAGATCGCATCAAAAGCTAGGAGAGCTTCATCCAAGCTCATCCACAATCTTCACCTCCTCAACCAATTCAACTACAACTCCTATTTCCAGCTTTTTAAGTGACAATAGTACAGAATACCATGTGATTGTATCACTAGTAATCATTCCATCCTCACTATCTCATCAGTTCGTTAAATCAAATCGATTGCAAGCTTTCGGTCCCCCTTTTAGCTTTCCGCTAAACATTCGACCCACTGTATTGTTACTATCCCACCAATAAAAGCCCAGGTCGCTGCTATTTGCAGCAACGATTTATTTATTCAGTGCGGAAGTAGCATCATCCAGAAAATGGATCGTCTTTATTATCTGCAGTCATATCTTTCGCGAAGTAGGTGATTAGTACTCACAGCGGTTAAGTGAAATGATCATGTGGCAATCAAAACGTTTCATGGAGCGGATATCGCGGAGGTTCTTGTTAATGAGTTCACAGGTGTGTGCTAGGTTGCCAAGGCGATTTACAACGATTGGAGGTTCTTTCTTGACTGGATGGAGGCATACACTTCCAATTGTATTCATTGCCATAGACTTGACGACATTGCAGGTTGAGATGGTAACACGAGTCGGTATAAAGAAATTTGAAAGATTTAAAGGAGGTTACTGTCGTTTACGGGTAGGATAGCTTGAAGTTTTGGACAATGGAACGGCGAGTCAATTTTTGACTGGGCTGTTTGTTGTAGTTATAGACGTACTAACCAAGTGGTTGCACCGTGGTTCATCGGTCGTAGGAAATCCTCGAGACCTGCGTCAACGACTTTTTGAATGTAAGAAGGACAGTTGCCAGTAAATATGTAAATTTGTTTCGAACTAGAAAGACAAGCCCATCAACCTCCTATGGCTAACTTGATTAGATTAGATGGTGTGAATTTCACCTTTTGTTTTAACCGTGCTACTATTCGCATTGTAGTAGGGATTTTACCTTATCTAGTGTTTATTCTAGAATGACCATCAAGAAATATACCAGATCGGGCCTATCTCGTATAAAATGCATCAATACATGCAGAGTGAACATGTCAATGTTTTTTTCACGGCTAAATTGTGTTTAGATGAAGATTGGAGGAACCACTAAACATATCATAAATACACCCTGAAGAATTTTGATTCTATTCAAAGTTAAAATATAAACACATTTGGATTTATGAGGTAACCGAGGCATTGATAAAACCATCTATCTATATAGATAGACCCATAATCTATCTTACACAACTCAAGCACCTGCTAAGTTTTATCATTCTAACCATCTGAAGTTCGGCTCAGCGGAATAATAGGGTTTTATTTATGTCTTGAGTGAGTGGAGTAGATTCGATTATCAGCTGAATTCACGAACGGGTACAGACACAATACATTCCATTCACTCATCCCCATCACCAGCACCCTCGAGCCTCAATACTCAACTCATGAGACAAAGTATCATACCCACTACCCAGAACCACAACCCAAAGAACTCACAAACAATACATCCCGCGAACTAACCAACACAAATCACTATCTAGGAAAACAATCCAACAATCCAACAAATCCGACAATCTGATAATCCGGATATACATATCAATACCTACCTTGAAAAACCACGAATAAATTTCCACAAATCCAAGTTCTGATTTCCTCAGGAACCGCAGATTTTCATACCTAGAATGGCTTTTAAAAGTTACTATAGATACTAGAGATAGATATTCATGATTCAAATTCTTTCTTTCCCAACACTCAAATACATTCATTCTATTCGTATCTAACCACCAACCATCTAAGACTTACAAATCACTTCGAGGCTCCAAGTACATACAAATGAAGTTGTGTATTTGCACCAACATCTCATCTCATAGGATATCAGGACTTATTACGTGGAGTAAATCTGATCATACCATTCATACCATTTATACACTGTATTTGTAGACCAAACTCAATTTCACACTCTGCTAAACTCACAAACTTCCATGCTTACGGATGAGTGTTTCTTCAATGATATCTTGAACCATCTTCTCTCTTTGCGCGACTCCGCTTGGACTTCCAAGATATTGTCACTATGCTCGCGTCTATCTAAAGCTCATCCTCTAATGTTTACTAAGATCCTGTTGAAATATTGCACGCACATGGTAGCCTGGAATCTTGTGAATCTCACCGGTGGATTCCACAAACAAACGTAGACCACCTAGACCCCAAGTTCATTCTTCTTCAAGTACTGACCGGAAACCCACCACTTTTCTTTAAAAAAAATGCATTCGAATTGATCAATTTCGTATTTATTGTTTCTCGGAAGATAGAAAAGAATATAGAAAAAATACAAGACAGGATTGCTTAAAACATGACATAGTTCTCCGAATCCTCCTCAAAGTTACCAGCCAAAATACCCAAACGCCAGCCCACCGAGGTAGTTCTACTTGGTCTAAAGCTTAATCATGAGAAGTCATCACCCTTCTCCTCAATTGCACTCTTAATTTTCAACAGAATGGTCGTCTTCCACTTGTCCAACTTGCTCATTTGATCATATTGGAATAGCTTGTCCGCGAATTGTTCCTGATCGCCTTGATCAACCGCCTCTGCGAGGTCGATTAATAATTGATGCTCCCTTGTGCTTGGGAATGTTGGATCCATATCTCTGTATTTTTCGAAAGCTCGTCCGGTGGCCACTGTATCGCCGATAGCTAGATGACACAGACCGGCCTTGAGGAAATAGTCTTTTACCGACCACTTCATAAGGTTATTCGAGACCGAGGATGCGGCTACCTTTTCAAAATGCTCGATGGCTTTGTAATAGTCACCGTCGAGGGCGGCAATATCGGCGACCTTGAGGAAGAGCTTATTGGCCAGTCTATAAATATATCAGCAAATGCTTGTAAATAACCCAGCACCTATGTGTGAAACATAGGAGTCAGAACTCACGCCTCAGCATTGTCAGCCTCAAACCAGCTAGCAGCCAGTTCATAACTTTCGATTGCTTTCTTCATGTCCCCAATCTCCATTTCATAAACCTCTGCCAAATTTTGCTTGTGCGTGGCAGCCCTCCTGAAGTTTCCTTTCGATGTATAGTGATTGATTGCAACGTCCAAGCATCTAACCGCATCTAGTGGATCTCCCTTCTTGTATACTTTGAAAGCTTCTGTAAGCGTATTCGCAGCATCGTCGGGCTCGTTGAGTTTGTTCGTTTGAATGTCGGCAGCGCGCTCAAATGCTTGCCCAGCCTCCTTGTCTAAGGAAAAAGACATGTCATGTTAGTCAAGATGTAGAGGTACGAAGAAAACTTGGGAAGGTGTTACTTTGCTTTTGCATGCGAAACGCATTCGCAGCTTGGTTATATAACTCTGCTGCATTCTCCCACTTCTCCTGTCGTCCACCGAAAAGACTGAATCCCCCCGAAGCTCCCGCAGCTGCTTTGTCTGCCTGTTGAAAACGGTCAATATGAAGCTTATCGGGCAGCAGATGGTGGGGTAGTCACCTTCTGCAAAAGAGCGTAAGGATCTTGTGCCATGACTGCGATTTATGTATTGTAGGACAGTTTATTAATTGATGAGTCTTTCTGAGAGTTGCAAGTATTATTTATTTATTGAGTTGTAAGAGTTGACTTGACATGTGTTCGTGGTTTTAGAAGATAAACCTTGTTTGTTTCTGGTTCTTGAAGTTCTGACATAGCCTGGCCCCGCCTGCGAATCACACACTAGTGTATTTCCGGGGAAGGATATGACAATATTATTTTTATACATTCAGCTTCACCATGCTAACTATTTAAATTCATTCAACAGTCCTCGAAAGCTCAATTATTCACAAAAATGCCAGGATCGATTTGTTTGCGTTGTCGCGCATCCATGCGGCATTGTCTCTTCACCGGAAACTCCACGCGTACCCCAATTTCTCTTTCTCGAACATACAGTACCTCAGAAGCCCGTCAAGAAATGCCCGCAGAAGCTTCTGCGGTGGGTAGGACGTCAATACCACCAACAGAAGGTAGTTCAGACCGTTTCATACCGCGAAGTGTAAAGCTTCATGGAACTAGAATAACAACACCTCTCAGCCCCAAGCCGGAAGATCAAATACTCCCAGTCCGCCGAGTATTCGCTCGATTAAATGTGGACTATGCTCACCAGAAAACGAACATTCGTGAGCTTCTTTCAAAGCCCACTTGGTCCGTTCGATCCCTCTTACCTTCTCATGACGAGAAACCTGTCGAAGAAATTACTGCCAAACAGCTCCATCATTTATGTCGACTTTCCGCACTTCCTATCCCCAAGACACCGATAGAAGAGAAGAAATTACTAGATACACTGCATTTACAATTACATTTCTTGAGGGATATTCAGAAGGTTGATACGGATGGTATAGAACCACTGAGGAGTATTAGGGATGAGACGTTAGAAGCAGAAGCGTTTGAGACAATTGGTTTAGAGACTGAAGAAATTAAGGCCGCGTTGGAAAAAGAGGAATATGAGGGCAGAAACAAGAGACCTAGGAGGCGGACTGATAGTGTCATTGACACAAAAGGTGTAGAGAACTGGAATGTGACAGGGACTGCCAGCGAGACTGTCGATTTTGGAGGCGGAAAGTATTTTGTTGTGAGGAGTGGGAAAGAGACAGCGGAGAAAGTGGAAGATCAAATGGGTTTGAAAGGGGAGAATCTCTCGCATACAGAAAAAGAGAGACTGGAGACGCCGGGTGTGAACTGATGGAGATATGTTGATGATAACTTTAGAATGATACCCCAACGTCTTTCAGGAAAGACACTCTAATCCCATGGCGTATATAGGTATTTCTCTCGCCATAATGATGGCCCCTCCTGCATCATCGGTAACATCCTCGGCGAATAATTGGCTCTCAAATGGCATTTCATGGCCCTCTTCCTCAAACATCAGTTCTCCTGCCACCTTTTTCGGTCTGTCGCACGACTTCAGTTATATTATCAGACTCGATCAAATACTTCTACTTTTCGCCGTGTAGAACACCATTTAAAAGACACGACATAGACATACTCTTTGCTCTATCAGATTCCACCCTTCACACTCCATCATTCCCACTTCCAACTTATGCTCCTACATTCAACACCCAGGCTCGTGATACAGATGATACGTTAGTTGTTCGATTTCAATTCATATATGAAAACCCCAAATCCAATGAATATCAGAACATGTCCTTGTAATCAATCCTTGATTATCCGCAACTGTAAACCTAAATCGTCTGAGTATCGAACTATACTCCTCCATTCTCCGATTCTATTTTGATATTAACGCTAAAAGCTTCTCAAATATCAAAGGTCTAGATATCAAAGGTATAGCACTCTAGAATGCAGTTATCTAAAGATAGATTATAGCTCATTGACCCATTAATAAATGTCCAAGACCTTGTCCACTCACCCCCAGTATATATGTCTAAACCTGAACTAAACAAAACCACTTCATATTTAATTAATGTGCAGCTTTTCCGCCCCTTGTTGCATCATAGTCTCAACAGTTTTCCGATCGACATCCTTCTCCATTTTCCTAACCTCAACTTCAGGATCCACATCATCAGCATTTCCTTTCTCCTCTCCCTCTTTTCTCTCCTGCTCGTCTAATAGCTCCAAGGTCTCTTCTTCTTTCGCAACCTCTTCCATATCAATATCCTCAAATCCTATCTTTTCCAAAATCGTACCCACGAGATATTGATAACGTAAGTGACCATTGACCATTTCGCTTACGTTGATATTTTCAATCCCCTTGACACCTTGGGCTTCTTGGAGACCAGCTACACCGAATTGTATGCTGCTGGTACGGTACAGGAAAGCGAGAATGTAATCATTCTCGGAATATACGTTTACGAGTCGTCCGGAGACAACACTGCGCATAGATCGCCATGCAGTTGCATCCGATGGAGCAGGCGCTCCAATTAGCACTGCTGATCTGGATTCAGAATGTTAGCATAGTCTGTAGCCGCAGGATTTAAATACGCTGCGAATGAGCACAAAAGTATAATTTAACGATGAATTGAAGTAGGAGATTGAACTGACTCTACCAAACCAAAGGCACGGCGTTCTGCAAGGCTCATTAAGCAAGAGTAGATCAACCTAGCTCCTAGACTGTATCCAATCAAAGTAACTGGTCTTTCTCCCTGCGCCTTATTGATAAGTGCATCTGCAAGGACTAAACCTGCTTTATCTGCTCGATTCTTGGCGACTGAGAATGGATTGTCTACAATTTTTGAAATTTTCAAAAGCCCAAGCGGCCAAAGAGCAGTCATTAAGCTGGCGAATATCGTTCTAGAGATAATCTCTTTCTTGGCAATTGACCAAGCTGCACTTTTTACCATGGACTCCAACGACATGCCGAGTTTGGAAAGGGCCTCGAGTTCATATCGCAGAGCAAAGACTTCACTTTGGTGCCCAAGAACTCGCCATGGTGTGACGACATCTTCTTTCTGGGTCAACCATCCAGTAACACCTATTGTGACCCTCAACCTCCGATCTTTCGCTGCTATATCCTTCAAGGGTTTTTGATGTTGCGATCCCTTGAGAGGAAGAAATGCAAAGTCGGAAACCTCTTTTGCGTAAGCATCCATCATCTTGCCCGTCATACTAGCACCATAAGCACCAAAGAGACTTCCAACAATAATTCCACTTTCGGCCAGAGCCCCCAACAAGCCTGCGGCCGTAGTCGCACCAAGTCCAAGCCCGCCCATTACGGTCCCTAAAGCTCCCGCAACCAATGGAGCTGCAAGACCACCTGTGACACCTATTATCGCAGCGCCCGCAACACCAGCGAGTCCTACCTTCCATCTTCGAGCTATTTTGTTCTCTTCACTCCGTTTCTGTGTCTCCTCGTTACCAGACATCTTTTTGGCGGCTTCCAGCAGTCCTTGTGCAACCTTCACCTCTGTCTCGGCGAGAAGATGAAGAGGAAGGTGCAGAGATGATGCTATGTGAAGCAAAAGGATACGTGAATGGGCAGTGTAATGCTCCAGAGAGAGAAGAAGCAGTAGCATGGCGTGTAAGAGCATCACTCGTTTCTCTTCTGGTAAAGAGTAAAGAGGTGTGGATGTTGGTGGGTAAAGCTCAATCAAAGCTGCATCTGCTTCTACAACATTTGTAGTTTGTCCTGTGAGAGTTAATCACTGAATTACCCAAAAGCAGGTGAAAGCTTAAAGCAATAGATGATACTACATACTAACGACCTTGGTTTTCGGCGGTGCATCAGGGGTAGAATTCGCGCTGGCTTTTTTCTTCTGATCTTCTGTAACTTCCTTTGGATTGTTGACCACCGTCCCAATTCTCGAAATGACAGTTTCTTGCCATTCTTGAAAGAACTTTAGAGCATCATGTTTAAGCTCTAGCATTTTGTGCGCCGATAATTCATTCTCCCTTTTCTCCCGTAGTTTCCGAGCCTTCTCCTCTTCTTCCGATTCCTCCTTCGGCTGACTATCACCAACTTTTGAGGATCTATCGGCAGCTTCTCCTGTGGTAGTAAAAGTATCAAAGTTGTCACAGATTTGTTTTTGCATGACCTCTGTGATGTCAGCAATGAGAAGCGTCAGATCAACACGTTCCTCAATCCCCAACATTGAACTAAGATCATGTTCATGGTCTTGAGCCGTTGCAGGTTTAGATGTCCAAGGAGCCATATCTTTGATGTTTGTAGGAGACAAGGAGAGGAAGCGTTCGTGTTTGTCAACCAAATGTTAAGGCAATTTCGATTCTTGTCGCTGAACAGCTGGGGCGGCAGTCGATTGAAGCCAATGACGACATAGGGGCTCTTATCTTATCATAAAACGCGTGAGGCTATACAATCACGTGATCCTAATGTTATTTATTCAACTAGTGTTTTCTCCGTTAGCATTGACTACACGATTCCAAGAAATTGATGCTCATGCGCATGACAATAACAAGGAGAGGGCAAAATTGATAGAGTCGATTTCTGGAAGGGGGGTGGTGGGGGTACTGCCTTAACAAGTGAAGAGCAAATGATTCCTAGGCGAACAGGTGAGGGGGAATTCTGCCGGTACGCTTGGTGGGCCCTGGTATGATGGTGATGGCGATGGCGATGTTGAAATGAGCTGAGGCAACGTCTGTGGTGGTCGGTTTATGCGACTTTTCATGAAAACCTTAAAGTGGCTGTGATACTTAGATAACTTAGGCAACTCAAAAAAGCTTTGAGGCAAAGGAGAGCAGCAATGTCATAATCTATTTTTATTGCTACAATATTAATATGTAACAAGGCACTCTCTCCCCAGGGATATATATACAGTGACCGTGACGCCCATTCACACATTCGTGAATGTGATATGCACGCCGCAAACGCAAGCCCCAAACGCAAGCTATAACCTCTAATGAAACACTCATGTAAATGAATTCCATTTTATCTAAGCCGCCAACTGTGATTTCCTTACTCTTCCCGCTTCAGAGTCCTTCTCTGGAATGGTTGTACCCCCAAAACCCAATCCTGCGCTCTTCTTCCTCCTTCCTTTCCTATCACCATATTTCTCGTCGAATTTACGGATAGCAGAGAGTGTACTCATATCCTCACTGATACTAGCACTAATTTCCTCCATTGCCTTGTCGAAATGAGCTTTCGTGAGGATACGTTTCTTGGGATATGTGTAAGGAATTTCGCCTTCGTGCTTGGCGGCAAGCTCGTTTTCTTCACGGATGCATGCCAATGCAGCTGCAACCGACAGGTTTTTGAGATCTGACCCAGAGTAGTAGGGTGTGTTTTTGGCAAGTTCGGTAAGAGAGACTGATGAGTCAAGGATCTCCTCTTTGAGATGGATCTTGAGTATAGACTCGCGATCATTTTCAACTGGTAAATCCACCAAAAGTCTTCGAGGCAATCGTCGCAGTACAGCCTCGTCAAGATCGAACGGTCGATTAGTAGCGACCATAATAAATGCAGATAGGTCGTTCATGCCATCCCATTCTCGTAAAAATTGGTTGATCATCTCTCTGTGAGAGGTCGAGCGCTTAGTATCACCACGAGCAGCAAATATAGCATCTGCCTCGTCAATGAATACTACACAAGGTGATAGTTTCTTAGCTAGAGAAAAAATCGCTCTGACGTTCTTTTCGCCCTCGCCAACGTACATGTCGTTCACTTCAGCGCCACTAATTTCGAGAACGGTCGCGCCACTTTCTTTCGCGACTGCTTTGGCCAAAAGAGTCTTACCGGTTCCAGGAGGTCCATACAGGAGCAAACCAGGCATCTTATCAGTAGCAAGTACACCATAAGTGAAAGCCTCTGGCCGTATCAACGACAAGCTTGTCAAAGTCTTTAGCGCCTCCACGGTTTCTTTCGGAGCATGGACATCTTCGAACTTTGTGTGAATATCCGAAGGTATGACCACACCTCCCAGGAGCTTCTTCTCGTGAGGAGTGCACGTTTTCCGAATTTGCTTCAGCTTATCCTTAATGTTTGTGTTTTTCGGGGAAGCGTTGATCTCATCAAGCATCTTGTTCACGTCATTATCTTCTTCCTTCAACTCTGCTGCGCCCCAAGAGAATTTAGCACTGTCACTTTCGGAGAGTAGCTGTTGAGCTTTCCAAAAAGTTGGTCCATCTATAATCTCCGGGTTACTTTCCAATCCTAGAATAGTTGTTGCGAGCCTTTGCACGCGGGCATAATGCCAAACTGCCTCATCTAGCCCAGCGGATTGTATCCAACCGCTATCGAGATCTTTTTCTATATCCACAGTAATAGGTGCATCACCCGCGAGTTTCGTGATCATATCCTCGACGTGTCGTATGTTTAAGGTCCGAATGCGTAGCTTGTCGTCGGATTCGAATACCGCATCTTGTTCTGGCCTTCGATCCGGAGGGACAAATATTGTCCTTTTCTCGCCTTCGACTATATCAGATTGGATATGCTGAATACCTGCTGATGAGAGCTCGGATTCTCCTTGCTCCAAAGAACTTGTTCCAACCATAATTATATTCCGTCCGGACTGCCAGCGCTTGGTGACCAATGTCCGCATTTTATCGATGATGTTATATCCATCGTATGTCCTAGTCAAATCCTTGTAATCGCGAACTTGTATAATGAGGTCCCTCGCGTTGGCTGCATCAGTACCCGAAGACCCCCATGTACGCTTTGAATCGGCACCAGTGACTAGTGCCTCAAGTAAAGCCGTCGTCTTTAAATCATTCCACTGTTCAGCATTAGATTTCACATTACTGAAGGCTGAATTGCCGTTGCTAGAAGCCGAAAAATTCGGGTCGGCGAAAGTAGCAAATGGCATCACAACGTCTGATGAACGCCTGTTGCTTTCAGCCGCCGGAGTGAGTGCTCCCTTCAATCGACTAAAAATCGCAGAGAGCTTTTTCTGTGCTTCGGACGAATTCGATGCTGTGAAAGCAATTGCAGGACCAGGTTTTCTGCTCATACCCGTCATGTCTTCCTCCTCAGCTCCTTCCATATCTTCAGATGCCGCGCTCGAGTCTTTTTCGTAATCCTCTAGCCTGCCCGCCATTCGCGAAGTTTCGTAGCCTAAGAGGGATGCCTTCGCCCCCGTCCAGGCTAAATTCTCATCGATGTATGGCCCTAGAATTTGAGCTATGTCGACTGGGTCAAGACGTATGAGGTCAGCTCCTAATTTGGTCGAAATTGTCTCCACGACAGAGTCTAAGTACAATATTCCTCCGTCTTTAGGGCATTGCAAGTGGAGAATGGGTCTCATGACATTTTTACCGTCCATAACAGCCTGTGAGGGGCGCAATTTCAACCCTGCTGTGATGGATGCCAATATTTCTTTGTAAACATTAACATGCATGCTATATTTTGCTTTCTCGGTGGAAGGCAGGTCGCATTCGATAATAGATTTGATTGCATGGCTCATCCTCTCGGTTGCTTCGGGGTCCGTCGGATCGGTATTCAATTCCGTGACGTTACTACCATAGTAGACAGCGAGCGAACCGGTCTGCGGCAGTTCCTCAGCCAGTTTGACATTATCCCAGAACCAATCCGGCAGTACTATCGGTGGTAGACCTTCTGGCTGTTTTTGTCGATTTGCTCTTAAGGTCCGCCCCGAAAGTCTTCCTCGAGACCTTTGCTCATGGTCTACACTCTCGACTGGCTGTATTGAATCTTCTGCCACTGGATTGTCCAACTCTACTTCCGCAGATACCTGGGGGACATCCACCGGATTTCCTAGCTCTGCGTCTTCAGGTATTTGCGGGGCATCCTCTATGCCTGATCTCTCCCCTTTATTATCACCTGGATTCGCTGCGCCTTCGGGTGTATTGAAGCAAATTGCTGAACGGTGAAAGGTGCGCCGAGGGGAGGGGTATCTACAGCCTGCGATAATCCGACATGTCTGCCTCGAGAGAGGATTCTTACTTCTGCGAAGGGCTCGCAATGCTACGGCATGCATTCGGTAGACTTTCGGGCTCTCTTTCGAGCGAATATTTCGTGTAGGAAAATGTGAATGTGGTCGTGAAAGTGTTTGAAATATCCCTTTGGAGTTGTACCAATTTAACAGTGTGCCTTGTTTGTAAGACATAAACAAAAATATTCAGGCATCAAGTGCTCACTACGATGCGACAACAAAAAAGGTGTGCTAAATTCTGACAAAATGATATCATACTGAACAATTATCTTTCTTCTCCAAAGAATTGCATTTACTGGGGAGGCAGTTTCAAATGAGACAAAACACAAATCTATGATAATGATATTTCATTTGTTTATCGGTTTATGTAGCTATTCAAAAGTAGCAATCCAATGAAGCTCCAATCTTTCTGATATCAAGATTTTCCGAAGGAAATATACCTTCAAGAACCTCACGTAAATCTTGAGGTCCATTGGTAAAGCAATGATTAACCATCATACCATCATTCATCCTCACATCTACTCCTCCATCCGCCTTGTTAATCCTCCAATTATTTTGCACCTCACGAGCCATCTCTTCCATAGCAACGTCGTTGCCTACCTTTCCTATGTCAAAGTGTTTGAATTGAAAGTTGATGTCTTGATCGTTTTTGAAACACACTATTGCCGCCTCGACAAAACCATCGAAGCATTGAAATATCTCACCTAGGCCACTTCCAGGGCCAGTGTTTAGATTGTATAAGTGTGGCCTGCAGGCACTCCAAAAGCGAAAGATGACAGTAATGATACCTTGGTGACCTGGGTGTACAGCTTCGATACTGTGGCCGAATCTACCATAATGACTACCAAGGTTGTTGAACATATGTTGTAGCAGAACTTTCAATTGAACCACAAGCTCCTTGACTGGCTGTCCACTCAATACTAGACTTTCGAGGGCTTTAGACACTGCTACTAGGTAGACTTCGCATGCGAGCGAGCCAGCTTCTTTGCTAAATGCGACTTCCAGTGTGGAAGGTACAATTTCAGTCAATAAAAATTTCAACAGGTGAATTTGCCGTGCACCCTTCGAAATCCGTTTGATGTAGCTATGGAGAGCATGAGTACCTGACAAAGAACTTCTCAATCCATTCCAAAGATAATATATCAATCCGTTCCGTGCTTTTTCCTGTTGTGAAGACAATTGCAGCGTATATGATATCAAACCTGCGAGGTAAAGCGTAGGGTCCGTCTCCGGGGGCCAGTACGCAACGGAACGGCGGAAGAAGAACTCTGGTGGTGGACAAATATCGCTGCAATGAGAGCGTACCTGCGAAACGATTTCCTGCACAAAGCTCACATAGGCTTTATGGGCAGCAGTGTTGGTATTTTGAAAATTTTGCAGATGATGCTGCATTGAAAGCATAGTAGAATTCAAAATGCCCGAGAATTTGGTCCTGATCGCCTCGCTGCTCACATTACCAAATTTGGAGGCCAGTAGTGCTTTGTCAGAAAGAATCCTTTGCATCCTGACGATACCATCTAATCCGGTTAACGCAATCTAGTCATATATTTCGGGAGCTTACATTTGATGAGTTGTTGATTCTTCATGATTGAAGGTGCTTCTTGCAGGAAGGACTCTAGACATGAATCTTTCATGATTTCGCCAGCAAGGAGAAAATGCCCTTTTTTGAGTAATTGATAAGTCAAGGCATTTTCCCAACGAAGCTCATGTTGTGGCTTGGAAATAGCTATCATCCATTCTGATCCAATATCGAAATCAGGACACTACCAAACATTAGTCGAATTCAGAGTGTAATTGAAAATCGGGAGTTTTTACACCAGACTGTAATGATTGTGTGTGCTCAAGTAGTTCACTGAGAAACAGTGGCCAGGCTACAAGCGTGCAATGCGATTGCTCCCGATGCTTAAAAACAGCGTTGACGCCTGTAGTGAGAAAGACCTTTGGGGACTAATACGATCATTAGCAGAAAACACGAAGGTGGGAGCTTCAGCAATGCATACATAAAGGCCAAACCTCAGGAAAGGGGAGACGAGCTGCGCCCAGCACCTGGTTAATCGCTCTAAAAACAAGTAGTTCGTTGTAGTACCTAGTGGCAACGGCCCGTCATGCAATATTCTCCGAACTGACTCTTGAAAGATAGACGTGATTGCACGATCGAGTGGCTCAGAAGGTTAGCCTTGCGAAGCAGTGGATGCGAAAGGAATAGAACATACATTAATATAATCGTCCATAAACTGCATTTCTTTCGCCCAATCGGGATCACACTCTAAGCCCTGGCTGTCAAATTCATCATCTGCATCTGGGCTTGCTTCCAGCTTGCTCTCTGGTTCTGCGTCATGAAGTTGGTGCAAGTAGCAAGTAAGAATCTCAATTGCAGATGATGTTAATTCTTGGTCAATTTTGTCATTTGAAGAGCCTGTAGAAAACATCTTTACAAGCATGTCTAATATCAATCAGCGAATGAATCTGTCACAGCTATCCTTGACTTACCTAGATTTATGGCATGCTTCAAAGTTGTTGGATTTGAACATCTCAATGTTTCCATCGTCGATCTCGCCACGGCTTGAATGCAGGACATAGTGCTCCTTCGATTACAGTCAACATCTGTTTGAAAAGCTCCGTCAGATTGAATTTGCAGTTGCCGCCGTACTTGAGTTAGTTCCACGTATTCTCCAAGCAGACTATCAAAAAAAGAATCCTGCCAAGTAATAAATGGTCTATATGAATCGACAGAGAAACTGGAAGGAATGCTAGACAAGGTAAACCGAGCAAGCCGTTCCCAAGCCCTCAGATTGATCAAAAAGGCTTCATTATGTGAGCGAGCGGCCGAAACAAGCTTCTGCAATAAAGTGATGGGCGGGCCGTAACCTGAAGGAGCAGCCCAGTATACTGTGCATAGAAGATCATGATGATTGCGCAGGGAGGCAAGATCACGATGAAAGATTGCCTCCTCCTTTGGAAATTGCCGATCATGATTTGGTAAAATTCTAGCAACTAAATTTCGAATGCCTTTGGTGTTGCCCGCTGCACGCTGATGCCTAATGGCGATGGCCACAATTTTGAGAAAAATATGAAAGCACCGATCTTCCGGTTCAACATCTAATGGAGATTCTGTGTTCAAATCCTCTAAGAATTGAGGTGATTTGTGGACTTCTTCATTCCGCAAATTTGCGAGCTTTTGTAAGGCAAAGCAATCAAACAGAGCTCCAACTATCCCACTGCACCTCCACCAGCCCCACTTTGACATTAGATAATGACATCGACTTACAATTGCTCTGCAGTAATCATTGAAGCTTGGTGATTGTCTAGTATTTGTCGCATAAAGTGCAAACACCCTTTTGACCAGTTGTTGTGCAAGTGACCAATTTTCAAACCCAAGTTCCTGGCGTGAAACTGATGAAATGTGACCATGTTCATCAAACTCAAAAAGTGGTAGGAGAGAGAACATGAAGAACCATAGCTTTTCCATCTCATTGGCATCCTGTGACGAACCTATACTTTTCGCACCTAATTGTATGTTTACTAAATCCCAAAACGAAGCGCGAGGAATCTTTGCAGCTCCTAAAATATGAATGATGATGACCCAGGATTCAACAAGATAACGATCACTTCTTATGCCATTCTCTCTTACTGACAGGTATTGTAAGTCATCGTACATTTTTCTCACCGTCTCTAAGCCTTCCGATATCAAGAGGCTGATGCAAGAGCCTGCCAATTTTTGCAGAACTTCTTCTAGGCGAAGAGTCGAAAAATGTGCAGCAATCCGAGACATCCCAAGCAACTGAAGCGAGAGCACTAAAAGCCTAGTTGTGACTTCAGTCGTTTCTCGGTTGTAAACGTAATCTATAGATCCTCGACAAACATCAAGACGAGACGAAAAATCCTCTAGTATCTCCAACATTCGGAGTAAAAAGTCGCCCCTTAACTCGGAACTTGAGAAGTCTATACTATGCTGTACATAATCTAAAATAAGATCGGTAGTCGCGACCAAATCAGGCTTATCCGATATCTTGGATTTATCAGTCAATTGTTCTGTTAGCCAGTCAATGCAAACACCCATTTGCTCGGAGACAATCTCATTCCAGGCCTCCCACACGAAGACCCTGTCTCCTAACTCAAGTGAGGTCGCAGGGCGGTTATGATCAATAGAGACGGGTTCTGAATGACTCAACGTGTTTGCAAGGCGCCCACTACCAATAAAGGTCGTCTCATGGAAATATATCCCTGTCTGAAGTGGCAAAATGTCAAAGTGATGAGGATACCTTGTGCCAAATTTCCCAAGGCCAAAAAGCTTTCCATGATCTATGCCTACTTCACCCAGCGAGGGTGTTGAGAAATCCAAGATGAGTGGCTCACTAGGCTGACGGTAGATAGCTGCACCTGCGTCTACACGTTTAGGCATCCGCTTCCGATGCCGATGTTGATTGCCAACTTTCTGTGCAGCACTAGTTGGCATCAAATCACTGTTCCCATTAGAGAGATTTGGCTCTATTGAAGGATATACGACATCTTCATCGGCCAAGAAGCGGGTCAGTTGAAGGTTTCCCCTCTGTAAAGGCTGACGGCGACCCATGCGAAAAAGAGCATCAAGAGTCTTCTTCCTCGGTTCTAAAGTGTTGATAGGAAATTGGCTTGCTTCAAGTTGTGCCGATCGTGCAATCGGGGCTGTAAAGTAAGGATCCGTTCGCGCCCTCGATTTGCTTTTGGTATTGACTGCTCCCACATTTTTTGATGGAGGCTCTTCTGGTTTGTCATGTCTATTCTCAACAAAGTCATTCATCGAAAGCTGTTTTACTCTGGGTACACGAATCTTCTTTGTAATATACGCAGCATTTGACTGAGCCTTGCGTACGCTTGTCTTGAGTTTCGCGATTGTTGGAGGAAGCTTTGTTTGCTGATTAACAGAGATTTGGCTGAGCGGATACGCAACGCTAGCATTTTCAGATCTTGATACATATGAAACATTCCTGGGCTGAATTTTGCGGTTCCGCCAATCTTGCAGGACTGATTGGGCATCAGCAGTGTCTTCGCGAGTAGCAAGCCTGATAAACTTCCGGGTGGGACTTTGACGCCCAAGTTCCTTTCGGGATCTCGCGCTACGAGCAGCAACCTTAAGAAATGCCGGGGCATTTAGCTCAAAATAACCAGAATCTTGAGCGATGTCTATTATACTAAGCTTGGGAGGCTGCCGCTTCTGCCGCTTTTGTTTAGGTTTAGTGGATTTGCGGACAATTGTAGCTGTAGATGTAAGATGTGAAGTGATCCTCGGCTGGTGTGGATGTGGTTGTTTCCCATCAGAATACGAAGATGTCATTAAGCGCTTAGCATTTGGTTGTTTGAATGAATTCTTGGCTCTGCGCTTGCGACTTGGGGTTGGCAGCATACCATCAAGGCGGTCATCTTCGATAGCAAATGCCAAATCCGACTCTTGAAATAGGCTAGGAGCTCCAGTTTGTTCATCAGTATCCATAGGAAACCCAGTAAAGCTAATCTCATCAGGCCCATCGCTTTCGTCAGATTCTAAGAATGCAAGTCGGTTCACAGTCTGTGTGGCGGGGGTTGGGTTCGTCCCTCGCACCAGGGGGAGAGCAACACCAGCACGTTTCTCGTTAGGCCTCGGGTTCTTCCTAGCTTGAGATTTATGACCTCGTATCTCTTTTCTTTTTTGATCAAGCCTTAAGTGAGACGCTGGCAGTACATGTTTCATTCTTTTCTTCAATAATACCATCTCGTCCTCCTCTTCCGATGATGATGATAACGACGAAGAGGCAGATGGTGAGGAAGGAATTACTATTGGATCTGCAAACGGATCATCCTCATCAAATATTATCTTTGTAGGTGATGCATATGAAGATGCCTTAATAGCACTCGTAATTGGAGTATGCACTTCCGTTGAACGCCGAAAATGTGGAGAGCTCTGGTCTTGCCAAACAGGGGTTGAAATAGGCGAAGAAGGAAGAGAGACTACACGAGAAATAGTTCTCCGTGCATTCCCTGAACGTATAGGAGGAGAATCGGTGGGGGATGAGCCAGGAAAATCATATATGTCAAAGGTCGGCCCTTTGTTCCCATATTGAGGTTCAGATGTCAGTTTCACTCGGTTTTTAGTCGAGTACTTCTTTGATGGCTTCTTCTGGTTCGCCTTTACTAGACTTGAATCCTGTTTGAAGAGCTCAGGGAGGTCAGGAAATTCCTGGTCACTATCGTCTTCATCTTCCGTCAGTGTAGAAAATTCAGGGCCGATTATAGTTTCCCGTATGCTATCTGCCAATGTCGACTGTGTTAGAGCACCTGCGTTCGAGCTCATAGGCTGGCTTTCTTCCATAGCACCCGTTTCTGCTTCTTCTGCTTCTTCTGCCTCTTCTGGGTCCGGAAAATCCTTATCCCACAATTCCCGACCATGTGTGACTCGCCTCCTTCGGCTATTTTCCTCTTGGCTTGGTCCAATACGTACGGGCTTGATGTGAGAGGCTTTCATCCTTTGCTCGTACCGCTGTTGCTCTAACAGAAATGGATGTATTTGCACAGGCTTTCTTTCCCGGAGTTGCCTTTTCGGCACGTTGTTGGGATGGTCAAAACCTGGACGTAATTGTTCTGGGGTCTCTTCGCGTATCCGATCCGGATGCGTGGAAAGCTTGGGTCGTTGCACAGGGGAGACGAGAGGCTGCACCACAGGAGAGGAACGGATTGGACTTGCTGGAGGCGATGATAGAATACTGGATGCCGGAGATAGAGCTCTAATCCAGCTCGTAGAAATCTCTTCAGCTTCTGCGACCGGGGCTGGTTCTCCCAAAGAGGTAATCACTCCATCTTCAATAGTTTTTTTTTTATCCTGCTTTACCATTTCCAGAGAGTCTCTCATGGTTTGTTCTTTCGGGATACCAACAGATACGTCATTTACCACATCGAAGGATTGAATCATATCGACGGATGAAGCTTGAGACATTCTCATCTCCTCAGCCATATGCCTCGAATCTAAACAAGGTCTTTTCCCCCCACACCTGCTATCATTAATTCTTTCCAAGACATCGTCGATATCGTAAAATTCATCGTCCGCGGCAGTATCTCGTTTCTCATGATCAGTAGTACTTTGGGAATCGAATTCCTCCTCATCATCGGAATCCGGAACCACTCCTTTCTCCTTCCAATTTGCCATTTATGTCAAATAACATGTTATACTCGAAAGGTAAGAAATTCTATTCCTCTTCTCAGCGCAGTTTTAAAGGGATGGTTATTGCTTTTGAGGTTGACGCGACTGAACCACTTTACGCGACCAAATTTTACGGCGGTCGAGTTTTCTACTAATGCAATTATTAATCAGCTTCTGTAACCTTCAATCTGCTCATGTGAGACCTTACTCCCAGCACCTAAGAGCACAGCAGTACAGACTTTCTGTTGTTATCGAAGGAAAGTATGAGTAAAGTTAAGGGAGTCTTCCCTTTGTTCTTAGCCACAGCCTTTGGCATTGGCAATGGTATGTTATACTACATTAAATTGCTGGTAACATTTTAATGAGAAAAACTTCAGGTATCTGGGTTTTTGGACCGGCGTTGAAAGAGCAACAAGAGAACAATTTGCAGGAGAAGTAAGTGAGCCAGAGGGATAGATCTGCTGCTTTATGTTTGCGCTGGGTGATTGACTGAACCAATTTAGGGCAGCCCTTGAACATCCGATTCAAACTCAAGAAAGCGAGACGGCAAGGATAGCAGAAGTAGAAGCAAGTCGAGCTGCTAGTAAAGATGCCTTATTGAATTCGTCCAGCACTGCAAGTCCTTGGTGGCAGTCTGCTAGATTTTGGTCAAGCCCTCAGCCACCATCCAACAGCAGCTCGGGATCCCAGCCAAAAGAACTGGCCACCGAGGCGAAGAAATCATGATCCAGCCATCATTTTGTTGCAAATTGTGTCATATCAGCAATGAATAAGACAGGGCAAGCGTCATATTGTATTTTGTCTGTTCCAAAATGGCAGCATATTGTTTTAGGCTAAAATCTGGTGGATTATTGGCCGCTGTCACTGTAATATAGAATGCTTGCTCTGTGGTCAAATATCACAAGCTATCCTCACTACCTGAAGCTACTACATGTCACAAAGACTGACATGATAGTATTGAGAGAGACAAGGTAGATTGAGGGTAGTTTCCCTGCTATAGGAATTGGATTCTAGAATAATATGACTCGGGATTAGCACATTTGCAACTTTCAATTGTCAAGGTCGAGACGGTTGCCGAAGAGGGAATGCATAGTGTGTGGCTTAGATTCGCTAGTAACATCTATCGTCATTGTAAATTTCCCTCATGTTCGCTAAGTAGCCTTCATCTAAAGTCACGCGATTTTCACATTTGAGCTTCTTTGAGGGGCAACGCAGTTTCAATCTAGCTCATAGATGTGTATTAATAATGCTCACAAAAGATCTTGATGGATGAGAAATATGAAGCGGGATATATAATTGAATTTTTCTGAACACTCAGAAGCCTTTTACTTCTTTGAAATTTCGATTTTATCGCGGCCTCGCAAACGACTTTATGTGCTGCCTTGAAAGTCGAACTGTGCACAAGTCATGGCAAGAAAAGCACATCTCTACTATAGGAATCAAATCCAGCTTTTCTCCCCATTTCATGTCTCAGACTTCATCTCACCTTCGCCCGGGCCACTCCTGATGCCATGGCTGAACCCGTTACATTTGACGCCGCCTGAGCCTGAGCCTGAACTCCACTAACTCCAACGTTACAGCTCATCATCCCACACTGCGCTTCGAGATTTGGAGGTAGAGTATCTTTCACCCTAGTCGCATTCGTAGCTGCGGCCCATAGACTTCCGATGTTTGGAAGTACGGTACAGCATCTATTGAAATTTACGGCCATAGTCGCATCTTGGGTTGTCATGACGCCGGTGTACACATTTTGGAGATTGGAAACGATGGAAGGGAAGTTGGCCATGAGGACTTTCGCTGATTTGATGCCGGCTGGAGAGAGGTTGGGGGTTTTCATGAGAGTGGCGAGCTGTATGGGTTCGTCTCTTGCGAAGGCGATGGCGGTTTTGAGTTTAGTCGAGTTGTTTGGGTCGTCGACTTTGAATGAGGTTAGAAGATAGAATCGGAATTTGAGAATAGGAGGGAAACATACGATATGCGTTGACGGTATTTACAGAGGTAGCCCAGTTGTCTAGCGAGTTTTTGACATCGTTTGCTGTGGGTGGGTTTGCAGGACTGAGGCGTTTGGGTGAAGCAACTCTGGCAACTGCTGCTTTTCTTGCTGGGGTGGTTGTGATTACTGCAAAAGATGTGCTTGCAAGAAACAAGACCATGAGAGTTAGTGGCTGCATTTTGAAGGTGTTTGAGCAAAAAAGTTGTGTAATGAATAGCTTTATTAAATATATAACATATGAACTGGTATTAAAATTCTGCAGCAACCAGGCTGGGTAAGTAGATTAGAATTAATTATGACTGAAGAAGAAGGAGAATGTGAAGAGAAGCTTTCTACCAGAGAGTGCGGAAGCAAGTTAGGGCCCAAGCATGATGGGTATCGCTTTCATAAATCATGTTCTTCCTACTGAATATGTCTACCGAGGTTCAAAAAATAGAGGGCTTGGAATATGCAAAATGATCGCAAGAACGATGCCAAGTTCATTCCTGGTCGATAATTCTACTTAGCTGGCATGCGTACGTACGATGACAGACGTCCCACGCTTGTCAAGGCCGTTGTAGATTGGCTGTTGCCAAGGAATATAGGGAGGTCCCTGCACCTCCAAGGTCATTTGACAGTTTCAACGGAGTTGGGGAATCGTTTCGAAACACCTTCAAAACGCAAGGAACGAGAAACTCTCTAGTTTAATGGTTCGTTGACCTGTTATCGCTGTCAAAACTTTCAATGATTGCTAACAATCGGCGGGCCTGGGCGAGGATTCCAGTATGGTTCAATAATGATGCTATGCTGGGCATTCATCACCGGCTGTATTCAAGCGATGTGCCAATGCGAAAACACGGGGTAAGCATATTCGAACGTCTGGCAATGTAAAATGAGAGGTTTCCATCGCCTATTGACGCGGGATCTGTCCCACTAAGGACGTGTTCTGAAAGATCTTTGCGGTTCTCCTGAATCCACAATTGATTTGTCCTTTCTCAATAGGCATATGTTTGAGGATATACCGTTTAGGAGGCGGTGCGGCCATTCCGTCATTGTCGTCTTGTTAGAGGTGAACAGAATGTATGTACGGTATTGTTACGTGTAGGTAGTAGATTATGGAAGGGCAAAGCTAAGTAGAGAGGCATACGTATTAGCGTATAAGCTATACTAGAGGGTTAGCATGTGTTTTTAACATGACATATTCATCCTCAATGAACATCGGTTGTTCTTGCATCGAAGTAGTACGAGGATAGATACCTTGAACGTGTTGTTGGTGCAAAATATCTGGAAAAATGGATTTCAAGGCATGATCTTCGCAATATTTGGATAAGGATGGGGAGGAGTAACAGAACTATAATATTGTATAATAATAAATATTGAATACTCTCAAAGGGTATTTTATTCTGCATGTAAGTCTATGTTGATGTTGGAAACAGGGATTAGTTTCTAGCAAACATGTGACTGCAACCCTAGCCAAATTTTCAGGTTTCGGTTCTCACCCTTCACTTCAAACAGAAAACTCGAAATGACAAGTGACTTTCGGAGATGAATCATTGATTTCAAAAATGATGAGTAGCCCGATTGTGAGCTCCCCTTCGTGATTCAGTTGGATAGCTTTCTATCTTAAGTCCGAAGCCTGCACTTATATGCATATGATCTAGGCGTCTGGACTACATGACTCACTTAAAGTTGATCTCCAGATATTCCACGAAGAATGGAATCCCAAAGATATAGAATGGCAACCATGTCTTTTGAGAAGCTAGACTGCCATTCATCGCCGCGTCCGTCGAAACCACGACGTGCACAGGGCGTGTTTCACGGAGATCAAAACATTGAAACTGTGGCCGAGACTGCATGGTTGCCAATGTTTCCAGTTCGTTTATGACAGAAATTGTTGTAGTCTTAAGAGGTTAAGTCGGATTGGAATCTCCGGACAGCGTCGAGCATTTTTGTCGTTGGGAATGCCCTTAGGAAGCCGTTGCAAGGAAAACGTGGGCCAATATACCACATTATTCTGCAAGAGCAAGGATTTTATCCTTTCAGTGAAGCTGATTTTTAATATGTCTCCACTGATGGCCATCAGGATCATGAGCTCGGGGTAGGAAGATACCCACTTATTGGATATATTAGCTTAGCTGAGAAAGTCTTTCGAGATAAACTGTTGTGCCTGGGGTTTGATTCTATGTTTTAGATTTGATTTCTACCCAGTTCTCCACGGTCCCTCAGCAATTGAATTCTGAGATACTGAGGACTAGGTTTGTTTTTAGCCATTTTCTCCTCAGCTCTCGCTATGTTTGCTATCCAGGCGAATATAAATGTAATAAGGTCGTAAAATTAGATTGTGGACATCTCACCTGGCTTGACATTGAACTCACATGGTTCCCGTCCCTAGTATTTATCTTGGAAGAGACCGGGAGAAAAAAGAAGCTCTATATTTGACTCCAACAAACGCGTATATTTGCTATTGTTGGTACGAGAAGGATACGGAAGACGTAGCACCCACGGATTGCGTAGGTCCTGTATGTCTAATTGTATTCTATCTAAAGAGCTAGCTACATATTGAAAGTAGTAAGTCTTATATAGACTTACTGAAAGAGCTAGTCTCTTTCGCATTCGCTTAGGGCTTTATTATAGTAGCTATATTACAGTGGTAATTGAATTGAAGTCATTCACTTCGTTCAAACAGCTATGTATGATGAATGTAATCTGACGTGTAGCGTTGGACGAGCATAATTACATACGGAGCAACAACAGTATCCAAAATATTCGGAAGGCGCACTTTGTTTGCTCAAGACAAACAAACCTTGCTCTTCACTATTGCTTTTGAAAAAGGCTGTTAAATGGCTTGTGTGACGGGCTTTTCATCAATGGGGATATGATTTAATGTCGAGCGGAGGACACCAGAGGACACCAGAGGACACCAAGCAGAATTATTTTGCTTGGTTAAAAACAAAATCTCCAATCCTAGCCTGCTTGATCCTTAATGACAAACTTGTGAAATTATTGCTTGCATTGACAGCGATACTTGAATCGCTTGCGGTTTTTACTTATGTATTCCGAAATCTATTAGCATATAGCAAATTTACATATCTAAGATTACATTAGGAACACGCTGTGAAGAAATATGCAGCTATCTTAACTTATATGTGAAATACTTGGTTTACATAGAAATGGCTCTTCTTGAGGATAGTAGAGTACTCTCAAAATCAGCTTTATATTGATTTTGAAAGTTGTTGAGGATATGGAATGGCGCCATCTTTGGTGAAGTTATTCATGGATAGTTGGATTTAACTTCCCTAATCATATCGAAAAGTATATGTATTACCTAACATGCACTTTCTATTTTTCAAAAATCAAACCATTTATGCAGGATGAACACTGAACAGTGATCAGAATCACCGTCGGAGCCAGCTTCTTCCTCGTCAATGAATCTGTTCGAAGTTATCCATTTTCCACCCAACTAATCTAAAGGAACACAGCAGTGACTCACCAACGGACCATTAGGAAACCAAAGAGGTCTAATCATCCCTCCATAATACAGTAATTTCATGCCTCCTCATGTGTGCATACTCTTCCCCTGCCTCCTTTATGTTGAAGGCTCGATGCTTATTTTCCACAGACACTACCAGAAACTCCCAACGCAATTAAAACCAACAATCCATCAAACCACCTCCTTCAAAATCCTCACCACCCCTTTCTCTTCCCCATCAACCTTAATAGATTATCACGCATAGTTTGGGTGTCACTCAAACCTGCTGGATCTTTACTCGTACGTATTCTTGGCTACACCTTTTTGACTAATTACACCCTATCCATGTTCATCCGTGCCTTCGACTTTGCTCTCTCGACTCGACGAATTCGTCGGCTAGCTAGAGAAATCTCGAGGTGAAAGAATGAATTCCTTGACAGTGATAGTACATAGCGAAATATACTAGTGCGTGACTTATATCCCGGAAAATTAGGAATATCTCCGATATAGCAGTGATGTCTCATTGATCCCAGCATAATTGTGCATTTGCGAGAAGCTTGTTTCCAGCTTTGTGTTGCATGGAGATGTAAGCTGTAAGCACAGCATAATAAACGCGCATAGCGCTGTAATAAATGCCGAACGTCAACCTCACTGGTGACAAAACAAAAACACTCTCAATGCCATCCTATTTTTGAAGCTCGGTCTTGTCCGTAGGGTTGCAGCGGAACGTACGTTTCGGTACGTAGTAATCATTCTCCCAAAGATCGCCCACTCACCAACCAAATCGATTTGAAGGACTCTGACACTCGCCATCTGATATTAATCTTAGATGTCAATCTAGTTTTTGAATCTCATGAATTCAGCTCGCCATTTTAAATTCATAGAGGAATTTATACCGGCATTGAAGTTTCCGCACTTGACGCAGGAGCCGTTTGTGACTCTCAGAGGAAGTGAATGGATCAACAACGCCCGATTTGAACAATCTATATTGATAGATCGTATCGTTTGCCACAATGCTATGCTTCGCCACGAAATAATAGCAGAAAGCAAATCACAGACAAGCTTCTAGATGCGGGCCCCTTCTCAAGCATCATAGCCACATCTGTCAGCCGCGCAGCAGCATGGGACCGGCGGATGTTTCGCAAACGATGCATGTCTCGCATAATTCGTGGGGGTTTATCGTATCAATAAAATCAACACGGAAGCCAGATAGAGACGTCATCTATAGGAAATTTCCTTCGAAAATAGAGGATGAAGATGGCGAGAAGCCAAAAATAAAATATGAATTCTTGATCTCAGGGCGACCACGAATCAATGCGGATCTCCCGTGATAAAGAAACAAGCACTAGGTTTGGTGGGGATGCCCGATATCCGCCACCAAGAGTGGTGCACTGGTATTTTTATTAAATGGATTCCAGCTCATGTTTTAGCTTCTCCTGATAAGGAAGGTCATGAAGCTATATTCCCTGTGTACCGTACCTCCGCCATATCGGCATGATAGGCATCCCTCCGTCCGTACGTACACCTCGAATTCAACCAAACAATCTATCGATTTTATACTGTCGGCTTCACAATGGGAGTACTACCTTCATCAGCTTACTTGTCGTGCTGTGTGTCCGAAAGTCTATTTGTGCCATTACCATATCTCGCATTGGAAATACATCTCGTTGGCACTCAATGTACGACTCAGCTGGGTTGAAGCATTTGATAACCAATTGATACTATCCCATGAAGTATTAAAGTTATCTATTATTGATTTTAATGACGTCAAACACCACACATCTTTTGTTGAATCCTTGAAGAAGCTATAAACCCAAATCAACACATTTTTAGCATAACACTCACTGACCTCTTCTAGTGTTCCAGATGATGTGGCCATGGAGCCAGTGTTTGGATGGCATGAGCTTGACAACAATAGACTAGTAGCACGGGTAGTTCCTAGTGATTTACTAAGATGCTTATGTTCTTGTTTTTTGTGGAGTGGTTAGCGTACGCGCGGCAGCGTATGTTTATTGGCACAGCCTCTCTTTTCTTTGATCTGTTATATCTTCAAATCCTGTACGACGAGGGCTCTTGTCTCGAACTGATCCACTCTAAAGAAAGTACCGGAAAATAAACCTTGTATTACCCTTGGAAAACATCATCTCACTGCCCCTTCCGCAATGCGTGTCACTACCGTGACTAGGAGCCGACATTTAACTTTTGACATACCTTCATTTCTACATGTTCACGAGATGCAGTATGTAAATGATTCGGTCAAACCGAAAGCCTCACTCATCTGCAAGTGTACACGCAAGGTTTGAAGAAAATAAACCCGATGTTGTGATACTCGCATCATATGATTTTCCAACTACTGCGCATTTGGAGGGGCATTCCACACCAAATGATTCCTTATCGTACCCGCTATGCACCTTCCCCGGTCGTGCATAGCATGGTAGCTGCCCTGAGACCACAAAATCAAAACTGATGACGCCTTGGCTAGATCACCTGGAGGTTAGAAGAAGAAAGAAGCTCTACAGATGTCCAAAGTTACGATGCTCAGCAGCATTTAAAGACAGCTTTCCCCGTCATAAATTTCTCTCCTTCTCATATCACTTATCTTCACCCACTATTACCTACAACAAAATTTTTATCAACTCAATTCATTATCCTTTATCAAACTACTCAATATGGCTACTCTTCAAGGCTTGTCGAGGGTTAGACTTGTTCCTAACAAGAACTACAAGAGATCTGGCATCAAATCCTATGTTTACCTTCTCAACAAATGGGGCTTCGAGCCCACTCTACCTGGTCCATACTTTCAGATGAACAAGGCTACCGAGAGGGAAGCTACCTACCACAAGTTTGGACACAAATCCCACCACCACAAACGTCACTTGGCAAAAAAGACTCCTACTGGAGAAAATGGGGAAGTTCCAGCTCAAGACCAACAAAACGACTCCGAGTATCTCTGCCCTGTGCAGATTGGTACACCAGCACAAACTCTGATGCTTGATTTCGATACCGGATCGTCCGATCTATGGGTAAGTATACGAAAGTTTCGTTCTCATAGCAGGAGCTAACGTGGCGAATAGGTCTGGTCTACAGAACTTCCAAAATCCACAACTTCCAAGGCAACTGGGCACACAATTTTTGACCCAACAAAGTCATCCACCTTCAAAGCTTCCAAATCATCCAAATGGCAAATTTCGTATGGTGATTCTTCGTCTGCCTCCGGTACCGTTGGAACGGATACTGTAACTATCGGTGGACTTGCGATCAAGAACCAGGCAGTTGAGCTTGCGACCAAGTTGTCTGCTCAATTTGAAGATGGCGCAGGTGATGGATTGCTCGGCCTTGCATGGGGCAGTATCAATACTGTCACACCTGAGCCAGTTGCTACACCCGTCATGAACATGATTACCCAAGAAGACATTCCAAAAGACGCGGAACTTTTCACCGTCAACCTCGGTAGCTGGCGTGATGCCGAAGATCCCGACAAGGGAGAGAGTTTCTACACATTTGGCTATATTGACAAAGATATTGTTGGCAGCCAAGAGATCTCCTATACCCCCATTGACAACTCCCAAGGATTCTGGATGTTCGATTCTACGTCCGCTACCGTAAATGGCAAGACCATCACACAGGATAAGAACCAGGCTATTGCTGATACCGGAACTACTCTTGCTCTCGTTTCCGACGAAACTTGCCAGGCTATCTATGATGCTATCCCAGGCTCTACCTATGACCAGACACAACAAGGCTACACTTTCCCAAGCAGCACCAGCGCCGATGACCTCCCCGTCGTCACGTTTGCTGTCGGCGGCAAACAATTTGCAGTCCAAAAGGAAGATTTGGGATTTGCTGATGCGGGTAATGGTATGGTTTATGGCGGTATCCAATCTCGCGGTTCGATGACCTTTGATATCCTCGGTGATACCTTCCTCAAAGGAATCTACGCTGTAAGTCCTCTCTTCAGTCCATGTTATACTAACCACTAACATTTTGCCCAGATCTTTGACCAAGGTAACGTCCGATTTGGAGCCGTTCAAAGAAACGAACCTACACAGAATACATCTGCTCCTCCTTCTTAGATGGTCTCACCTTATGATATGGAGTATGGTTTTGTAGCGGGTTGGTTTGGAGGGATCGTGGGTTATGGTTGGATTAGTAATGTCTGGATTATGGGTTGCAGAGGCACATGTTTTTGAATGCGTGGGTTCTGTTGGACTTTGTGATAATTCTTTCTGGTTAGAATCGATTATATTTATCCTTCATGTTTATTTCTTGCTGGATATGATGTGAATAATGGATGAGGTGTGACATGATGAATTTTGATTACAATTGGAAGCTCGTAAATTACTAGTAAATCAATAGTGTACGAGTTTATTCCACCACATAGTATGAAATGTGTTCACATGACAATATTCCAACGTTCCAAAAAAGCGAGATGTAATGAACGAAAAATTACTTGATAATCTGACAGTAAAATCTTCCCAAATATTATATTATCTTGATCATTCATCAATGAATCATTTTCTACTCATATAACCTTAACCCTGAGATGTTTTTTTAACACAACATTACCCCCTTGCTGGGAATATCAAGAAATCATTATCTGATACCGTGATAATAAAAATCTCCCGATTTGCAACCTCGAGTTGAATATCAAAATGCTATTATTATGTACCTACTATATGGAAAAGAAAACTTGTCAGTGATAAATTCGAGATGAACCTCTTGGTGGTTATGATGTAATTTTTGTTGTTGTTTGAATTCGGAGATGAAGTTTGTGTGAAGTAAAAATAGTATTACAAATATTTTTTATGGGGTGGGTGGTTTAGTCAACGAGATTGAATACAATGAAAGATTTAGGTACTTATGCGAAGGTTTTTGTGACATATCATATTTGTAGAAGATAGTTAATGATATATATACTTATCCATTCTGTAATCCAAGATCGGGATCTCTCCTCTTTCTTCTTATTCAAAAGCCCTTTCCCTACTCTACCATTCAAGCTTTTCCAACTTTGATCTTCCATCTAACCAGGATAAACTGCCCCATCTCCCCTAGGATCACTACCACCACTAAAAACCAAAACACCATCTTCGTCCCCATGAACTCTGATTAACTGTCCCCTCCCGAAAACACCCCTCTGATATCCTTCAACCATTTGCACCTGATGACCTAACGCCTTCAACTTCTCAAACACATCTTTGGTGATCCCCTCTTCTAGAAACACGTTTTTCTCTTTGTGTGATTCTCCTGGAATTCCATCTGCACTTATACAAAATCTGGGGGCATCGATTGCCGCTTGTGGGTTCAACTTAAATGCCAACATATTAAGCAATACTTGAACATGTCCTTGGGGTTGCATGAATCCTCCCATGACGCCGTATACGCTATGTAGCGAATCGTCGTGGACGTTGGTAATCATCGCCGGGATGATGGTATGATAAGGCCTTTTACCAGGAGCGATGACATTAGCATGGCCCTTTTGAAGCGAGAAATTGCCACCTCGGTTTTGGAGAACAAATCCACAGCCTTTGGGAATAATACCGCTGCCAAATCCTTCAAAGTTGGAGTTTATGAAGGATATTCCGTTGCCCCATTTGTCAGTCACAGCAAAGTAGACCGTATCACTATGATTATGGGCAGGGGATCCATGGTCATAGATTTCAGGATTAGAGCGCTGGGGATCGAAGAGTTTGGCGCGTTCGGCAAGATAAGACTGGGAGATTAGTTCTTCGACGGGAACTTTGGTAAATGCTGGATCAGCTATAAACCAACTAGCATCTGCGAAGGCGATGCGTAGGGATTCGATAACGGCGTGGAGGTACTCAGATGAATTGTGGTCATTTTCTGTGAAATGCGGGATTTTACCCATGTTTTCGAGTTCTTCGAGGATACCGAGGGTCATGAGTGCGACGAGTCCTTGGCCGTTGGGTGGATGTTCCCAAACTCTGATGCCATGGTTGTCTTCGCTAATGCCTTGGCCGGAAATTCCATCAACGAAATGATGGGTTTTGTTATATCCTTGACCTTTGAAAACTTTTGAGATGGGTGTAGATTCCTCACTGCCGATCTCCATGTGGTTTTTCAAATCGTCTAATTCCAGAAATCCACCTAGATTTCGAGTAACTCTGACGATTTCTTCAGCGATTTTTCCGGTGTAAAATCCTCTCTTACCCTCGGTTGCAAGTGTTCTGAAAGTCTTGGCAAGATTTGGATTCTTAAATATCTCTCCTGGTCTGGGTGCACGCCAGCCATTTGGAGCACTTGAATCCTCTTTTAGCATTTCAGAAAAGTTAGGAGATGCTTTCTGAAGTAGACCCTCGCCGTTTCGCCACTATTAATCTTGTTAGCTTTTGCCAAGATGATCAGAAAGATGTCGATTTAACATACCATAGTTGAGGCTAATTCAGAGACCGGAAACCCCTTTTCACCCATCTCAATGGCAGGGGCCAGAATTTGTTCCAGAGTAAGATTACCACTGCCAAATTTCTCCACAGTATCAACCCATCCTGCAGCTGCACCTGGTACAGTAACAGCATGTGGACTTTTTAACGGGATTCTGCAGGTTCGTCATCCTTAAATCCGAGACCTTGTCGGATATTCTCGAGAGAGCATTTCATGCCTGCGCGACCAGAACCATTTAAAGAACTAACTTTTTTCGTCTTGGCATCGTAGAAAAGACAAAACATATCACCGCCAATACCCGTGGAGGTCGGTTCTGTTAGGTTGAGACCAGCAGCTGAAAACTTGTTAGACTGGGTGTTATATTAAAGCTGTTTAACATACCAACCGCAACTGCTGCATCCTTGAGTATATTAGCTTGCGAAGCTTTTAGATTAATGCCAACTTACCGCAGCGTTTCCACCTGCATTCAAAACTTTGAGACCACAACTAGCAGCCAACGGCTGAGTACAAGCGATCATTCCCTCAGTACCATGAACAACACTTCTCCTACTCGGGTATGTTACAAACTCAGGGTCCGTGGCGGGAAAGACTGAACTGAGATTAAGTGGCATTCTGAAAATGTTATTTTATTGTAAGCAGGTGAAAGTCTTGAATCTACCAGTCCTCGGCTATGTTCTTGATAGGAAATGTATATCAGAATCTAGTTGGAGATACTATACACAAAGGAGGGAAGAAATAAATACACAAAAGGAAAAGATCTAGAAATGAACTACTAAAGTTTCCATTCACACGCCGCTTATTTGAATGCCAATATAGGAAGAATAATCCCGATTTCGGCAATTATGGCACCAAATGCAAACGTGGGGTCACAAGTATAGAGCGGGGCCACTTTGAACGCCACTCTGAACGCCAGTCTGTGGGAGCGGCCGCTTGAAGCCACTTTTCCGAGAAATAGTCCGTGCTTCAGCCTCTCAAAAAGTAGAAGCGTGTAATAGAATAATCAAAGAAATAATTGAAAAGAAGCCATTCCAACGAGAATGTTTAGGGCTCCTTGGATATGTCGACGATGTATAGATTCATCATTGAAACCTGGTAAAAGGCGATCAACAGCTTTTACACGCTTCTCTAGCACCATCTGTTAGTCTTCAAACTTACTCCCCCATTCACATTCTCTTACACGAAGAACAGCAAACAATGGTAGTACATTTTCCCCAGCATTACTTGCGCGAGCTCGTAACTTGGCAGCAGAACATGATCGATTGAGTAGTGAAACCTCCGAGTCATTCAACGCCAAGGTTGCAAAACGAATTGGAGAATTACAAGACGTAGCGACAGCCTTGAAGAAATGGGAAGAAACAAAAGAGTCACTATCAGAGCTAGATGCATTATTACAGGATTCATCAACGGATGAAGAACTACGGGAGTTAGCAGTCGAAGATCTCACCACCACGACCGCACATCTCGAAGAATTATCTCGAAATCTCACGACCAGTCTTACCCCCAAACATCCTTTCGCGGAACTACCATGCCTCGTTGAAATTCGACCTGGAGCTGGAGGGGGTGAAGCTGCCATTTTTGCCGCGGATCTCCTACGCATGTATAGAGCATATTGTGCGCGCAAACGATTTCGCTCCACGATCATCAAATATGAAACCGCTGATGGTGAGGGTGCTGGCTCCGATTCGCCGATCTCCGAAGTCGTACTCGAAATCGAAACACCCGGATCCTACGATTCTTTACGCGGCGAGGCTGGCGTCCATCGAGTTCAAAGAGTTCCTGCGACGGAAAAACAAGGAAGAACACATACTAGTGCGGTGAGTGTGATGGTATTACCTAGTTTCCCCACGACGGGACAGGAGGGGCAGGAATATTGGGAAGCAGATTTGAATGATCCGAATAGTGATTATTATGTCAATCCGGCGGATGTAAGGACAGATGTTATGAGAGCGAGGGGAGCAGGTGGTCAACACGTTAATACAACTGATTCGGCGGTTCGTTTAACGCATGTACCTACCAATACAGTAGTCAGCATGCAAGAAGGGCGGAGTCAACTTCAAAATCGACAAAAAGCGTGGCAAGTATTGCGGTCCAGACTAGCGGCTGCAAAACGGGAAGCTAGAGAAGAGCAATTGATTAATTTGAGGAGAAGTGTGATTGGAGTTGCGAAAATGGGAAGAGGTGATAAGATTAGGACGTATAATTGGGGACAGCAGAGAGTCACGGATCACAGAAGTGGATTGAGTGTGCACAATTTGGATGATGTTATGGAAGGAGGTGATGAACTAGAGAAAGTCATTGATAGTGTCAAGGCTTGGTTTTCAGAGCAGGAAATCTTGGGGTTACTTGCTGATGAGGAATCTTCTAGGAATACAGAATAGATGTTGTGCTAGAACATACCGGCTGTATAGAAGTGTCTTATACCCTCCGTGCTCGTCCAAAACAGCCGATTCTCTGGCCTCGATGATAATGATCATTCCTTTAATATACGATCAGCACGAAATTCAATGTTCATATTCATCGACTAAAAGCTCCATCTTAAGCTCATTCAACTTTAAATACAGTTATTGAATAGTTCTCTTTCTGGAACAATCCGCTGGCGTGATTTACATTCGCCCTATTCAACAATTAGGTCTAAGGCCCTTAGTTATCCTCGATTGACAATTTTACGCTTCGATCCTGGAACCTGACATCCCTTCTCGCCAATTACACTTTTGTGTTCAAAAAGCCATAGAGGAAAACGTTTCATCCTTACTTCGAAAAGAAAACAGAGTGGCCAGCGGTATAGGCAGAAGACTAAAGATCAGCCAAAGTGTATGCACTCACTCATGCATAAAATATTGCTCATCTCAGATTTCGAATATGGAGTTTCGTGTAGGACATCTGTCCCATATATTCACAAACCAGGTGGCCAACAGCGCATCTTTAAGAGCATAACCATTAGCAGCCATGTCATCATTAGTTAATTCAACCTGTGGAACAACTCAAACCCCAGGAAGACGTGTTTCATAAACAACACTGTATCCTTTTTTGCCGGAACGACCAAGGCCTTAACATTCCCACGTCCCGAATAAACCGTGAAGGAACGACATAAAGTACTAGTAATCTATAGTTGAACTTAATCGCCGTTTCCACACACTCGGTGCCAGCCGTCGCCTAGATTTTCACGCTCATGCAGTGCGTCATTTCTTTTCGCCATGTGTCTTACTAATGCCGTATTTATGTGTCTTAAAACGGCTGTAGTCATCACTTCATCGTCTCTAGGCACACTCTCTACATACCATGCAGAGGGATCGGCTGATGGAATTTTGTATCGGACACAACCCGGCTACCTGTTTGGAGCTCAAAGGGCGATGAATGGCAAGGGCAAAATCACACGGCACCACAGGTTCTGATACAATTCTCCTTGCTTGGGACAGTGGCCTTGGTGAAGGTGTACAGCTGTGTATCAAAAAATTAATGTGCTCATGAAGGGATCAGAATTGAACGAAAGCAATCTCGTCCCTGTCCCGAGCTTGTTTATAACACCTGAGCGTGTTGGCCCGGATGAAGACTCCTCAAGAGCATTCAACCTGATAGGTTGAGCAGTAAAATTGGCTCAATAGATTATCAAAAGCAGCAGCTTGAACAAGGTCATATCTCAGGCACCAAATGAGTCAGGTCGTCAGCAAATGCCTTCAGATTTGATTTTAGGGTTCATTGGACGTCCTTTGCACTAGCTCAGAGGCTAGAAGCATTGCTAGGCTAGTCATGTTGTGTCTTATATAATACCTACATCCTTCTATATTGGACTAGTTTTTGAGGCGGACTTCGTTATTACGTTTGCGACAGATGGCAATGAGAGACTGTGAGGTGGAAAGCAAAATTTTATACTTGGAGTGCTAATATTATTTTACTTAGTGCCCGGCTTTCCATAATTCTCCCACTTCGAAACCCAATTAACTAATTGATTCCAATCAACACAAAAATGTTCAGCCTCAAAGCCTGTGACTCCGTTGACTTTCAAGTCTTTGACTTCGACCGTTGTGTCAGGTCTGCATACCAAAGCGTTTCTTATCAATTCGAAGCAATGAGTAATGTGAAGGGGAGCAAAATGATCAGATAGGCTGTTTGGATCAAAATCGGCCCCCGGCTCTGCATTATGTACTGCCAGACTGCCATCGTATAATGCCCAATATGCTAGCCTCATCTTGTCCAGGCAGTGCAACTGATGAAAGACTGCGAAATTGGCACGCGCTGGAGAGACTGTTGGGTGACGGAAATATCCTCCTTGGGCTGGAAACAGTGACTCCCATGCCTTGTCTGCGGTTGGGCCAGTTTCGACGAATGTCTGGTTGTAAACAAACTTATGTTCCTGTAAAGGTACTGAAAGATTATCAGCTTACATGTCATTGATGCATCGAATTCGGTATACACTGAGAAGGGTCAAGTTACGTTCTATGTTTGGCTGACATCTACTAGCAGCGTCTTGATAAGGTGTATAGTAACGCCCAGTTACAAAACTAACAATCATTCCAAACGCAAACAAGAAGAAGATGAGCACTGCTTGACGATTGAAAATCGGATGACTAGAACTGCAGCTTTTTCGAGAAGGTGATTTATCATTTTCCAAGGAAGGGAGTTGGTAACCTCCTCGCGAGGACAAAAATTGAGATGTGGTTTGAATGTGGCTCATGGTGTTAATCACTCTCGACGAAAAGACTGAAAAGTAACTTTGGACTTTTGCAAGAAGTGAGAAGAATGAGCTTACAGTGTACGGTTACTGTAAGCCTCTTCAACTTTGACACACTGGTATCTATCAAAGCGATAGGGACATACGAAAGAGCTTAGTGTAAGCATCACAAAGGATATGGTGATCTTCTCTACTCCTGCGTCCTGGCACTTCAAGATCTGCCTGCGCTGTGTATGTTCATCACAATCATGCTTATCCATATCGCGCATTGACGTCAAACAGAAGTATGACGGATGTGCGGGTATTCTAAAGCTTGTTATCTACGGAGTATTATGATGTTCCACCTTTTCTTGATCTTGGCTTGGCGCGCGTCTAGGTACTCCGATTGGCTTTTACTTTTACGAGGGCTCCACCATTCTGGAAACGCGTACTTAAACCTGGATTGGTTTGTTTACAGCACTCAGAACTAAGATCTTCTCTCTACTACTTAAGGTTAAAGCATGTTAGTCTGAAATGCGTTCCTTATTTCCCTGTTTTGATTGATCTGTCTTTTGACACCATGTCCCAGACAGAAGGTAGTATCCGGATTATCCACTGAAGAAGATCCGGATCTGAGATTAGCATCTGGTGCTTCAGTGGCGTAGCGAAGGAACAGAGTGGGGAGAGTAACCAAGATTGCACGATTGCTGAGCGGGAGCGGGTGCGGGGTAGTTCATGATGGAGATGTTGGTGGAATTTTGCATGAGGATGAACTTACTTGGAGATGTTGGAACATATGATCGGAAAGGCTAGCAAAAGGGCAAGGCAGGAATTAAGGAAGTCGGTGATTTCGAATTTTAGCTACTACAAGTTGGAGCAGAGAAACAAAACGACGAGCAAAACCCCCCGTACTTGGAGGAGTAGCCTCGGAGACGTTTTCCGAGGTGCATGAGATCATCGCTCTATTATCCTCTTCTTTGCCCGATTGCATTATACATAGTTGTCACGGTGGGTGTGTATGCCTAGATCGTGGAAAGACATTACAGCTACCGGTGTCTGATGAAGTCAAAAAAGGAATTTGTCCTCAGGGATTTCTAAGGTTGAAAGATTAAGCAAGTGCCTTTTATTCGAGGAAGATCTCCTGTACTACAATGCCGTGCTACTTTTCTGTTATGGTGGAATTACACTTTCGGAAACCATGCTAAATATAGACTAAGGCTTGCCTCATAGTGACTAGTCGTCCACTAGCACCACACACTCAGACACTTTCCCGCGCCACTTATCAGATTTAACCTGCGCTCATCTTTATCAAGCTGGTATTTTCAAGCGGCTGTAACCATGGATCTTGCCAAAGACTCAGCTAGCGCCTGTTAATGACATCCGTGAGGTTAACGTTGAAGAAATATACTGGGGATTAAGCGCCAACTAATGCAGTCCGGCCAAAGTAAAGTCGAGTGAGGGGATGATAACACTGCTAGCTCTTCACATTAAACCTAGTGGAGTAAGGGTCTAAGCATGGCAAACACACTTCAATGCATCCAAAAATGCATCAGTTTGATTATTGTCACAAAAGATAGACCATTGGGCTCTTTCGTTCCAATCAAGCTAATCAAATGCACATTCTTATCGCTATGAATTTTGCTGAAGAAGCAGGCTAATTTTCTAAAGGTATACTAATTTACAACTCTTATTGCTGACGTATGGATGGCACTGCATCAGGGTCGAATGGAGGCTCGCCCTCAAACTCCATCATCAGTCCATCGTCTGGCTTCAACCGACTGACATCTATCCGTTCACTGCTCTCCTTATCCACTTGATTGTCACGAGCATACTCCAAAATAGCATTGAAATCGCGACACTCATGCTGGACATTGAAATTCGGATGGGGATTTGTATGTCCCTTCATCCAATTGTAAGTGACGATACCAGTATCAGCCTCGCACATCAGCTTCTGTCGGAGCATATCCGCACAATGGTCTTAGTTTTTGGATTAGCAAAGTTGCAGAGCTCTTAGTTTAAACGTGACTCACCTAGGTGACCATACCAGTCTTTTGGGTGACTGTTCTTGAATTCTGTTTGTTTAGTATAATACTCAGGATATGCTGCTTGCCATAAAGTTTGCTTCGATAACGTTAACGACAATATTTTGGATCGAGTTTTTGACCACCTACCACACAATGTATTTGATGAATTGTCTCAAAAACTGCGAGTCGGCCACCTCCAAGGCTACTTGGCAGTTTAACTGCGTGTTTGGAGGCGTTCAAGTGTTGGAAGACATCCTCAGAAATACTCATGACTCCCACTTCAGATTTTTTAGTGAATTTCTTTAAAGGAACAATAACACTTACACTCTGTTACCTCATCCCATAATGCGTCAACTTCACGCGATGGCGGGCCTTTGTAAGGAGATGAACGATTAAATGTCCCATCGAATCTCACTTTTTTTGTAGGCGCTGATACAAGACCTCGGAGTTCTGTGTTCTGAACTAGACGATTATGTTAGCATGAACGAGCGAATATGAGGGAAGAGTAGATATACTCCATTGGTTCCTTTCTAATTTGAGATCATATCCTGGTCTGCTCCAAGCCAGACTAAGTGTGATGAATGCAAAAAGAGCACCCAAGCAAAAAGATATGATCTGACCCGTATAACACCGAAGGTTAGAGCGATGGCACTTTTTATTGCCTTTGTTTAACCCGTTGATTTCTTCGGGAAGAAGACTTTCCTCAACATCTTTTGGACTCCAAGAAGGTTCATCTTCCGAATGAATTGAATGTTTGTCTGACATGATGAAGATTAAGGAAAAGTTTAACAGTGCAAGAATTGGATCAATGAATCCCGCGTCGGAGAGTTTAGAAAATATGAACGCAATGGACAAGCTTTCGACAAAAGACCTCAATATTGTGGCAAGCAAACAAGCGAAAACTTGATATTGAGATTTCTTGATATTTCTTGATATCTCTAGCTTGATCGAAGTATGGACATCATCCAAATGAATAAGTATGCAGTGTTATTCTGATTCGGTATTGATCAACAAATATAGTGGGGAATTATCTCATAGGTTGAGCTTAAATCTGACACCCTGCATTAACTATTCGATCGCTAATGCCGGGGCTCTAGATATCTCTTTGAATTGACGGTTGAGTACAAAGTGACCAATGGCCAAGCACTTCAACCTTGCACATGTTTTAACTTCGGGCGAGGGGCTCGGATGGCATTCCTCCAGAAAACATTCTTTGCATTGTTAGTTTGCATTTCTGTGGGAGCATGGGAGGGGAAGCTGGTGCCAGGACATTAATGTTCTTCCTTATCTGCCTATCAAGTGAACGATCTCTCTCTTCTGTGGTGGCTTATCCTGTGGCAAGTAGAAGCTAGTTGCTACATGGTATGAGCACGCATTATCATTCACCAATCTCGTGCTATAACCCACTGTATCTCTTACGCACGCTTTAAAATGTCATGTCGCTAGCTTAGACCAAGCATGTGTAGACGGGAACGAACGGCTTGGAGAATGCTTGCGTAAAGCTTACCACTGCTCGATACTGTGCCCTCCATCTGCCGATCTTAGATTGAAGGATTCCAGATCAACCTGCTCGGATATTCCCCATCAATCACAAGTTGTTGTTGGAAAAGAACTATATGCTAGTGTATGTGGTATCTCAATATCACCATCGTTGCTGGTATTTGCAATCTTCACTTCAAAGTTCACATACGCGAGTACGTACGTGGAGAAAACTAGCATAAGCTTAACCGAACGATTCCCGTTACCCTTGTCATTGCCTACTGGTGTTCAATGCCCATGGCGTTTACATCCTGGACACTTTCGTCAATGTTCTGAGTTATTACAATATCCCATCATCATACCTCGATGCCAAGAGAGGACGTCTTGATTTCTACCATGATGGTTGCTTCATGTTGCGCCATTACAGCCTTTCTCCATATGTTGTCTAGAGGTTCTATCTGCCGTTAGGAGAAATTGGCTCCTGATAAGATGAGTAAATAGGCCAGTCACGCCACTTATCTTCGTTTTGTGGGGAATATCAAGCAATTGAAACATCCTCCAGCAAGAAACAGGAGGAGATCTAGAGCTATCTGCAAGCTAGACTTTAGTGTCGCTGTACGGCGCAGTGAAATAGGAAAATATCTGATGATACATCGTCAAGCAAACTGCTCCTACAGCACGAAATATCTTCAAAGATGACATTTTCGCTTCTGCATATTGTCTTCCATGTGGGAACATATGATTCTAACAACGCATCCAAGTAATCTGTGATGATGGGATAATGAGATAGGAAATCATTCTCCGAGATCCTCATTCCCATTCCTTATCTCACGACAACTGATTCGTACGACTTTATCTGGTGTACCATCGAGATAGAGTCTCATGACAATCACAACTCCATGAGGAAGGTGAAGCTACTTTGATCGGCAGATGGTGCTACCCACGCATAGAATTCAAAGATTAAGCTTACGCGAAGCGATATGTTTCCAGCCGACATCCAGACACCCAAAAGTATAAAGCAAAGGCATTCTCTTGACGAAGAATAATCCATCACTCATCTCATCTCCTTCAACAACATCACAAATCTCCAAGCATTACCTATCCAAGTACCACTCGTCAAACATCAAAAACAACACAATGAAGACCGGTCCAGTTGTCTTTTCACTTTCCGTGCTTAGCACGATGGTTGCAGCTCTTCCTGCTCCCAAAGCTAGTAAGTCCATGAAACACAGCATTCTACAAACAAAAGACTCACAGAAACTAGATCCAGGTGCTGCTAAGAGATTTGTTCCAACAATCATTCCTTACGCCGATTACTCCGAGGATGCTGAGGGCAAGACCAAGAGATTTGTTCCAACAATCATCCCTTACGCCGATTACTCTGAGGACGCTGAGGGCAAGACCAAGAGATTTGTCCCAACAATCATCCCTTACGCCGATTACTCTGAGGACGCTGAGGGCAAGACCAAGAGATTTGTCCCAACAATCATCCCTTACGCCGATTACTCTGAGGACGCTGAGGGCAAGACCAAGAGATTTGTCCCAACAATCATCCCTTACGCCGACTACTCTGAGGATGCCGAGGGCAAGACCAAGAGATTTGTCCCAACAATCATCCCTTACGCCGACTACTCTGAGGATGCCGAGAGCAAGACCAAGAGATTCGTTCCCAGCGTAATCCAATACGCAGATTACGCCGAGTCCGAAGAAGCCTCAACCAAAAACAAACGCTTCGTCCCCAGCGTAATCCAGTACGCAGACTACTCCGAGGAGGCCTCAACCAAAGAAAAGCGATTTGTCCCTACCATCATCCAATACGCAGATTACGCTGAGTCCGAAGAAGCCTCAACCAAAGAAAAACGCTTCGTTCCCACTATCATCCAGTACGCAGACTACGCTGAGGAGGAGGCCACTACCTCTACCTAAATACTTCTTCCTTTTTCCTTCCTCTCAAGATTACTACAGGCAAAGAAGAGACTTTTAACTCGTAAGAATAGAGTAGAGGAGGGTTTGGAAGATTTTCCTGCTCTTCTTCTCTGCTTTTGTTGTGTTCTTGAGGTTGGAATTTTGGATTTGATGTTCCTGGTGGTTAGATCACTTTTATGAGTTATGATGTTAGGATTATGAGATTTGGAGGTTTTGAAGGTGGATACAGGGAGATATGTATGAGGATTTTTAGTAGGAGGTAGTTGGTTAGAATGGATGAATGAATGAGATAAATGAGATGAGAATTATATGATGTTTTTGTTTAGTTTATTTGATTTTATTGTGAATTTTTTGGATGTGTTGTGTTATTTTGTATTGTATTGTATTGTGTTGTGTTGTGTTGTGTTGTGTGAGTATCTAAATATATGGATGGGGGTTTCTGCTTGTGAATTTAAATTGTGGGATGTGGCGTGAGATGGTTTGAATGTGTGGTTGTGATTCAATTGTGATTAAATGTATATTTTTAGATACATATAGATATTAAGAAATGGAAAATAGGATGAGATATGATGTATAAATAGAACGATTAAGCCGTGGGGAAATGATTATGATGATTTAGAATGAGCTGTTATTAATGACTCTTATCACTTTCCGCATATATCTAGGATTACCTGTGTATTTCCACACTTGCGGAAGCTCAAGTAATTTGTTAAGCACTATTGATCAATATTCTACTTGGGCAAAATCCATAACTATATTAAATTCAATCTAAACAGTCTATATATGTATAATGTGAAAACCACCTTATATCTATCTTGATCATTTCCAAAAATAATATACTAAATCATTATGACTCCTCTCATTGTCGCACTTCCCCTTCCTCATCCAACACATCCTCTCCTTCATTTGCCGAATTTCCCACACTCTCACTACTACCATTCTCCCAATCGTAATTTCTCCTACTCATCACCCAGCCGGCACTCCAGACGGCTATCGCTGAGAAACCACATATGACACCTAGTCCGAAGAACGGTAACCCAACCCAAGCGCCTTTCAACCTCAACCCTAAAATATAAAGCTGGGCGAATGCTGGTCCTGCTATTAGTCTTCCGGTCGTCTCAACCACCGCCACCGCAGCATACAATTGTCCTTTGTGCTGTTGATCGACGAGCGTCGTTATCAGGGAGCGCGTTATGGACATATATCCTGCACCTAGAGTAAATACTGCCATCCCGAGAATTGCCAACGGTAGTGTTGGGGATGCGGCGATTAAGATGGATCCAAGGGTGAGGATTAGGATTGAGGCCCGTGCTAGATAGAGGTCTTTCTTTGCAGGAGGCATTTGGAGACGGGTAGTCATAATGCGTGATAGGGTGGGGAGGACGAGTAAAAATAAAACGATTTGTACTCCAGCGCGGAGGGACCAGAGGAAGGAGCTGTAGCGGAGAGGGAATTGGAAGCGATTACTAATATAGCGGAGGGAGATATCTACAGATTGACCGCTGAAATGTTTGATGACGAAGGTGACGAGAAGCAGTATTAGAGGCGCAGAGTTGAGGATTGAGATGGAGGATTTTAGAGATTGGAGACTAGCCGAAATCTGGTGTTTGATTGTGGGCAAAAGGGACTTTTGTGATTTTGGGCTATTGGGGAAGTCATTGTTGGAAGGGGAGGCGAGGTGCGATAGATCGGAAATCTGATTTATGTGTAGTGTTTCTGGAATGAATATTACGAGGAGGCTTCCGAAGATAATGGCAAAGAATCCCAGAGTAAGGGGAATCCACGGAGACTTGGCCATCAAGATAGCAGCCATAGACGGACCAATTAGCTGAGCAACAAGATCCGTAGCGGCTGCCAGAAAGAATACATCCGTTCTGAACTCGTTAGTGTTTGCTCTGATAAAGTCAGAAAATAAGCCTACCTCTTTGCTTCCGGAGTGATGTCGCTTATGATAGCAAAAAATGCCATGCTTCCTACACTTGTTCCACCCCCAATCAAGGTAAAAACGGGACTGAGCCAAACGAAGCGAAGGGGAAGCGTACGCCAAAACCACATGACTACCAATCCCCACAGGGCTTCAAGGACTACACCTACCATTGCTAACATGAAAATTGGCTTTCGTCCAATTCTATTAGGTATTAGTATTAATATTTGTTTGCATTATGTTAAAAAGCTATAAAAAATCGACCTCTTTCGAAAGGATAGCTTGGGGGCATTCTTCTATTTGTGAAGATATGTAGAGATTTAGAATAATAGTCCATCGAAATCGGTACATACCTGTCCATAAGCATACCATACGGTATTGTCGCAAGAAGACCTTATGTTGAATTAGTTCCCTTTTCAACAATTGAATTTTTCCGTCACTACTTACCTGTTATTGCCCCAAGAAAGTGAGATCCTGCGACTACGATACTCAGTTCATTCTGAATATCATCTTTTTTACACATGCTCTCATCGATGTTTCCCAGCAGTGCTGTATAACCGGCACCCTGCAGACGATCGTAGTAGTGATGGCAGATGATATCCTCGTAAACTCTCAATACTGGTACTGCCATCAAATATCCCCCAAATTGGAGCCAAAGTAAGGATGCGAGCACGATAGCCGTTATCACGTGAGGTGAGCGTGCCCGGCGGATGCAAGAGGATGCATATGTTCGATCAGAGATCCATCGAGACCATCTCGAAGACGAAGAGACGATGGAAATCTGCGGTGGCGCAGGCAAGAGAGGCGTCTCTTCGCCGACTGGTGGATTAAGAGTTGCCATGATGAAGCTTAAGGTCTCTGAGTGATGTAGTCATCAATTGCTTATGTTGAGCTAGAATGCTGGGCAATTCGAATGCAAGGAGAGAAAAGGATGTTGGAGTCGAGAAGAGTGAAGGAGAATTTGACATGATGGGTAATAGGTAATAGGTAATAGGTAGCTACTAGGTATCTCAGACGGTAGCGACATCTTCTTCCCCTGCTTTTCAAACATTAGCGACTTGTAGTCGCGGCGGGTTGGTTGATCCATGATATTTGATTGGCTGAATGATTGTAAACGAAGACGGAGCTCCACAATTCGTACTTGTCATCAATTCCCAGCAATCTCCTATTCTCCTTCCGCACCTACCTAATTCGGATGATGCTTGAAAGATACCATCACGATCCTACGCTCATCGGCCAATGAAATCTAGAAGCAAGTCAGGAATATTGGAGATGATGATAAGAAGTTTATCTTTTAGAGGCTGATGAATCGGAAGAACATTGCCGCCAACACTAAAATCACAAGGCTTACTCGACCAGAGAGAGAAATTCGAATTCAATGGCGAGTTAATTAATCGATCAGTCAATTGATCAATCAATCATCATTTTGCCTTGATTTTCCAAGTAGAAATCTTAGCTTCTGTTATACTTGAAGCCTTGAAAATCAGAGTATGAGTATGACTCTGCTTTTGATCCTGATTTAATCTCATAAAGTATTTGAACCGGATTTGGTGTTCGCATTTATCATCCGCTAGCAACACAGCTGGCTGGCTGGCTGGCTATCAACATCTTTGGAATTGATACAACCCAAGATAATCATGAATCAATCAAGCATCTGTACTGATGATAGTTTTGGTCCTACCATTCAAGGAGGATGCCGAGAGGATTTTGATTTCACTCTTCTTTTTGAACAAAGCTTCTTTTCTATACTCCCTTCTACTCTTTTCATCTTAATTTCATCACAAAAGATCTACTCCTTGCATAGACAACCTAGAAGAGTATCAGGTTCCGGTATCCAACTATTAAAATTGGTGAGAATGATTATTTCCATCGCAAAATTACAAACAAAAGACTTACAATTCATAGCTTTTCATTATTCTATATGGTCTACTTCAGGTTGCCCTCCTTGTTCTATATTCTATCCGCAACACAAAAAACACACGAACCGCCATTCCTTCAATTGTATTATACAATGTAGTGGTAGTATTTCTTTGTATCTTGTCGTATCAGGAGCACATCAAGTCAATCCGCCCGTCGAGTATACTGAATGTGTATTTGCTATGCACATTAATTTTCGATGCTGTTCAACTCAGGACAATTTGGTTGATTGACAACGACATAGCTATTGCAGGAGTCTTCTCTGCTTCACTGGCTCTGAAATTATGCATGTTCCTGCTCGAAGCCGGAGGAAAAGATAAATTACTGTATCATGATTATAAGAAATATGGCCCCGAAGAAAAGAGCGGTGTTTTTAATAAGGCAGTATTCTGGTGGCTCAAAGATCTTTTGATTCGAGGACGAAAGAACATTTTAGCGCTTGGGGATCTTTATCCACTTAATGAGGATCTTTCAACTGGAAACCTTTTGCCTAAATTCCAAACTGCTTGGGAACGAGGTGCGTTAAAATCAGATTTTTCCTAATTTTAATGCCTTTCGTCGACTAATTTCAGTAGCAGGAGAGAAGGCCGGTAGATACCGTGCTCTTTATGCGACATTCAGGGCCCTCCTAGGTTCAATACTCGTAACAATGATCCCACGAGTCTGTCTAATTGGCTTCAACTTTTGTCAACCACTTCTAATACGTCGATTTACTAAATACCTACAACAACCTGTTACCGAAAATACGACAAACCAAGGTTATGGTCTTATCGGAGCTTACGGTAATGCTTTATTCCTCCGTATGATATATTGAGCTGACAATTACATCAAGGTATTGTTTATCTAGGAATAACGGTAGAATCCATGCATACTCTCAATCTTATGAATCAAGTACTTACTAGGCCATAGATCTCGACTGCCATCTATTATCGTTTGACTTACCGATCACTGATCATGATACGTGGTGTCTTAGTGTCTGCAATATATCACAAAACAACCCAGATTGGCATTGGAGAATTTGACAATGCTGCAGCAGTCACTCTAATGAGTGCAGATACTGAACGTATTATGTATGCACTAAGACAGATGCATGAAGTATGGGCCAACATTATCGAGGTAGGCTTGGCAAGCTGGCTCTTATACACACAAGTCGGTTTTGCTTGCTTTGCTCCTTTGGTCATCGCTGCAGGTATGATTGAACTCAACTCTAACACATGCATAACTCACAATTCGATGTAGGTTGTGGTACTGCTTCATTCTGGCTCAGTTCTCGAGCAAATATCCACCAACGCGAGTGGATGTCTGTCATACAACAACGAGTGGGTCAGTAAACTTGACACTTCCGCAAGAGACAAATCAGCTTACATACAATTAGCTACAACAGCGGCCACATTCTCAGCAATAAAAGGAGTCAAAATGTTGGGTCTAACGGAAAAGCTTTTCAAAACAATTCACGCTCTAAGACTCACCGAACTCAAATCGGCGAAAGCGTTTCGACAAGTGGAAGTTATTACCGCTTTCTTCGGTGACCACACAATCTGAAATAAATTACTGTAAAGATGACTAACAAAAGATTTAGCTTTCTTACCCGAAATGATTTCTCCAGTCGTCACTTTCGCTATATTCATTAATGTAGCCAACCATGGTAATGGAGCATTCGCCTCAACAGTAGTTTATACATCTATATCAACACTTTTGCTCGAAACACAACCATTGACACAACTATTTCAAGTCATCCCTCAACTTGCAGCAGCCATTAGTTCCTTCGGCCGTATATCTCTTTTCTTAGGGCGCCCGTCTTTAATAGACAAGCGCGAAAATATTGGCTTTAATGCCTCTGCGAGGAGTGAGACTTTCATGGCAAACACTGAAGATATTCCACTAGACGATTTGGACCTCTCCCGAGAAACAAAATCATCTAATCTTTTGAGCCTTACTACCACGTCATTACCCAATAAAGTCAGCATTAAAATTCAAGGAGGCGCATTTGGTTGGATAGAAAACCACCACACCCTTCATGACATAGACATCGAATTCCCAAAAGCACAACTTACTATGGTGATTGGACCAGTAGCTTCTGGAAAGTCAACTCTATGCAATGCCATTCTGGGAGAAATTCCATTTTCCGAAGGCATCATACAACTCTCATCGTCTCAAATAGCACTTTGCGACCAGACTCCATTTTTGACCAACGCCACACTACGAGAAAATATCATTGGATCTTCAGTTTTTGATAGTTTATGGTACGATAGTGTCATAAATGCTGTATCACTGAGCCACGATCTTAACATCTTACCATCCGGAGACCAAACCCTAGTCGGCGCCAATGGACTGGGCTTAAGTGGAGGCCAGAAACAAAGAGTATCAATTGCGAGAGCAGTTTATGCGAGAAATGACATCGCTATTTTTGACGATGTTTTCAACGGCCTCGATGCGACTACCAAACAACGTGTTTTCAACGGTGTCTTTAGCTCTAATGGACTGCTTTGTCGGAAACCAACCACCATAGTGCTTTTCACAAATGATGTAGATCTCATACACTTTGCCGACCACGTCGTCGCTCTTGGAACTAATGGAACTGTTATTGAGCAAGGAAGTCCACAATTGCTTCTTAGTAGACAAGGATACACTCAGCGCTTAGTAACATCCAACTTGAAGGTCGTGGAAAGTAATTCGGAAGCAAATGCTGAAGCTCCTACCGCTCCAGATGCAACTGTTGAGTCGACTGAGCAGGCAGTCAATGTTTCAGCTGTCACTACTGAAGGAAACAATAATACCGATTTTTCGGTCTATTGGTATTACTTTACATCTATCGGGCTTCTCAACATGATCCCTTATCTATTTTTTGCAGCGTCCTTTGGCTTTTTCTACAACTTCCCACTTGTCTGGCTAAGCTGGTGGTCAGAAGCAAACGACAAGAACACAATGTATCTGACAGTATACAGTATTTTCCAATTACTTGGATTACTTTCTGTCACATTTCTCGCGCAACATGGACTCAATTCAATGGCCAAGAAGTCGGGCAAGAACTTACATTTTAGACTTCTTAAGACTGCAATATTCGCACCTTTGAGTTTCTTTCATACGACTGATTCTGGATCTATTACTAATAGATTCTCACAAGATATTTTGCTGATCGATACAGAGCTTCCAAATGCGCTAATGAATATAGCTGCTTTGGTCTTTATGATGATTGGACAGGCAATAATCATTGCTGTTGCATCGCCATACCTAGCAATCTCGTATCCCGTGTTATGTGCAATTCTTTACTATATCCAGAAATTTTACCTCAGAACTTCCCGTCAACTTCGTTTACTGGAACTAGACGCAAAGTCGCCATTGTAGTAAGTCTTCCCAACCGGTTTTCAACGTCGCCTTGATATCTGTCACTTGATATTCCCAAGGTCGAATATTAACGACGAATGATTATAGTACTCATTTCCTCGAAACTCTCCGTGGACTTCGAACAATAAGAGCTTTTAATTGGACGGCAATCAACCAGGAACTCAATTCTAAGCTTCTAGATACATCTCAAAGCCCGGTATACCTTCTCTTCATGGTTCAACAATGGCTGGCTGTCATTTTAAACCTGGTGACTACAGCCATCGTAATTATTTTGGTCGGTGTTGCAACCGTCACTCGTTCTCATCACAGTTATATTGGTCTCGCGCTCGTAAACTTGATGTCGTTCAATACTATTCTAAAACAGATCGTGATACTTTGGACCACGCTGGAAACTTCCATCGGTAGCGTCTCGAGAATTAAAACGTTTGGTGAAACGACAGAGTCGGAAAACGAAACTTCGTCTCAAGAAATGATAATAGCGAGTGAGGATTGGCCACAAAATGGCAGTGTTGAGTTTATAAATGCTTGGGCTACTTACAAGTCAGTTAACCCCTTCCGTAGCAATGGTGCCAATGGAGTTTATATCAAACTGACAACCCGAAGCCCAAATAGCAACCCAGTATTGAAAAATGTAGAACTCTCCATCAAACCCGGAGAAAAAATTGGAATCTGTGGAAAAAGTGGCAGGTATGAAACATTCCACCTAATATATACATATACATATAAATCCTAACCTACAAAACCCCAGTGGCAAAAGTTCCCTCACCCTTACCTTATTCCGCATGCTCGATCTATCACACGGCAGCATCACCATCGACAATATCGACATCAGTCTTCTCCCCCGAGAAAAAGTCCGCGCTCATCTAAACGCCATACCACAGGAGCCATTTTTCCTCAAAGGAACATTCCGGGAGAATCTCGATCCGCACCAGGTATCCAACGACGCATCTCTAATGAAAGCATTAAAAATGGTATCGTTAGAATCTATCATCCCACGAACTGGTAACTTGGATAGTGAAATGGACGCCGAGATTTTGAGTCATGGACAACGACAACTTTTTTGTCTTGCGCGTGCGATTGTGAGACCGGCGAGGATTTTAATTATGGATGAGGCTACTAGCAAGTATGTTGTTTCTTTATATCTTTATGTATTCACATATCCACAAACACCCAACTACTCCCCATCCTCCCCAAACCCACCCTCCTCTCAACAAACCCCAAACTTATAACTAACACGCTCTCCCCCACCAAAAAACAGCGTACGACCAAGAAACCGACGCCCTAATGCAAAAAATCATCCG